TGAAGGAAGGACCTGAACTTATTCTCCCCGACAGGGGGGACCTGAACATATTAAATCCCTGACAGGGGAAAGGGCTGAAAATTAATCCCTGACAGGAAGGCCTGAACATATTACTCCTTGACGGGGAAAGGACCTGAATTTTACTCCCTGGGGGAAGGACTATTATTATCCCTGGCAGGGAAAGGGCCTGAACTATATTACTCCCTGGCAGGAAGGACCGAAAATATTTACTCCCTGACAGGAAGGGCCTGAACTATATTATCCCTGGCAGGGGGACCTGAAATATATTACCCCCTGACAGGAAGGACCTGAAATATTACCCCTGGCAGGAAGGACTGAACTATATTACTCCCTGACAGGAAGGACCTGAATATTTTACTCCTGACAGTGAAAAGGGGGGTTTAGGTGGGAGTAATACACTTGGGGATGGTGGGAACACTTTTTTGCAGAGTCGTGAGGGGGAAACCCCGCCCAGCCTTGTTTTCCTGTGGGTCTTTCCGGAATAGAGAGAGGCAGGGTAACGACGCCCCACGGGCACCACGTGACGCACATGCTATCCCTAGGCTCAAGGGATCGTTATATAAAATATATAGATGGGAATTTTTAAATACGATACTCAGATTGCTAACAAACATATTCAGTAGCTATGCTGAAACAAAAGGACCTGAACTATTTTACCCCGACGAAAGAACCCAAACTATTTATTCCTTAAAATGAAGGACGAACTATATTTCCCCCCGGGACAAAAAGGCCTGAGCTTTTTTTCTCCCTGACAGGAAGGCCCTGTACAGTTACCCCCTGACAAGAAAGCCCTGAATTTTCTCTCTCCCTTACGGGAAGGACCTGAAAAATAGACAGCAAAAGGGGGAGGGGGCCACGGGCACTCCCCGGGTCTTCCAACTCTAAACCTCTGGTACTAAAAATTGACGATCCATAGGAAATTTAAGGTTGGGTCTTCTCACTATTTTCCCCCCTTTCCCTAACATGGCGCCCCAATACACCCAATGATCCTTATTTTCGTAATAGAGCCAAGCTCGCTACACCCACTGACCCCAAAATTTCCCGCACTAGGAGAGAGGAGCTTCAACGACTTTTCGGTCCGACTTGGCCATTTGATCCGGTTGATTAATTGACCTCGTTACAGTATGATTGATGCCTTCCATCACTTGGGGCTCACTATCAACATGGACTCTCCAAGAAATGATGGCAAAGCACGACAGTGGTTTGGGGCCATAAACAGGGGGGGCCCACGCCCTGTTCTTAGCTCTGCGCAGTCCCTGATAACGCCCCTCTCCAAAGGAAAGGGCCTCTGGAAGGCCGTCTGGCACTAGGACTATTTTTATTTGGTATTTTGAGGGGGACCGGTCCCCACACTGCTTGCTAAAAGACAGACAGACAGACACCAACACACACACACACACAACACCACCACACACACACACACACACACACACACCATACACAACAAAACACACACACACCACACACACACACAACACACACCCCGGTATGTCATGCCTTTTTGTAATTTGAAGAACCTGTATCCCAATCTTTTTATTATTATTATTAATTTTTATTTTTATATAAAAAACCCGCAAACCCTGATCCCCCTGCAAAGAGTGAAAAGAAACTTTCTCTCTTGGATTCCCCCTTGTGGACAAATAGTTGAAATGGCTGTAATTTTTTAAAAAGAATTATTTATGACTTCTGTAACTTGTGCTGTCCCCAAAGATGAGGCTGTGGGAACAAAATAAATACCCTCACTAGGGGCTTTAAAGTAAACGCATTTTTTTTTTTCGTCTAGCAACAAGAGCAGATCAATGACCACCACAGTAACTCCCCCCCTTTCATCGCCAGCATCTTCTACGGTGTCCAGAAATTTTGTCATATATTGTCGGGAAAAAAAAATTACCGGGGTACAGTCCCCTGGTCTTTTAAAAAACCTACCTTGTCAGTCTTAGGCACGAGAGCATAAACTGGGGGTGAGGTTTTTGTTTTTTTTCAGCTCGTGTGTGTCTGCATATATCGCGTAACCCCCATATTATTACATTAAAAAAAGAGCTAAAACCCTGTGGGGTTTTTCAGCGAAAATGCGGGGAAGGCTCGATCCCCGTTTCCTAAGGTGGGGAGAAACTTTCCCGCCAAACATCCCCCTAGGCAAAGTTTTAAAAACTCAACTTCGGCCACCAAATTAACTGGTTTTTTAACTTAAAAGATATTGCGTGTACTTACACGACCAGTCAAATTATTTTAGTACCTAAAAAATGTAATAAAGTAAAAACCCGGGTTATAGTGAGGGGGCCGCCCTTTGTGTATGTACACGTCCCAACCCCGGATAAATTTTCCTGGGTTGGGAATGTAACTGCTGCTCAAAAAGAGTCATTTATCTTAAAACCGAGTGCAGGTGTGATTTATCTTATTATCCAAACATTTTCTCCAAGTCATGCATATTATGGGAGAGATTTTTTTTTTTTAATAAATTTTTAAATTTCTTGTTGCTTGTGGGGAATGTTGTTCCTGGGTTAGAGTTGTTCCTTATTGTGACTGTGCATATACTTTGTGCTGTCTCATTTCAATCAATCGAGCGCCTCAATACACCTTCACGCAATACAAACAAGCTTCTGCTGTTTCATGCAATTATTAACAGCAATTCTTTTTCTAAAAAAAAAAAAAGAATTTCTATTGATAGGAAAGTTACTAAATGGGCCATTAATACTGCATACAGGCAAATCTAGGACCTTTTCAGCCTTCTGACATGTGACTTCCAACCACTAGGCGTCACCCACACGAAGCACATTGTAACCTTGACCCTTCTTGCTTCTCTCGTTGCTACATATGGACATGACTTCCCTCTTCTCTTCCCTCTCCAGGATGTATACAATATGAGCGTGTTTTAGGTTTTTTCTGTTTTAAATTAGCAAAGCTCAATCTTGAGTGAACGTATATGCACTAAATATATATATATATATATATATTTAATATATTATATATATATATATATATATATATATTATTTATTATACTATTATTATATATATATACTATATATATATAGTTTATATATGTCGTGCCGAATAGGCAGAACTGTGCGATTTTGGCTTAAATAGCAAGCTAATCTTGCCTTATTCAAACAAGCTGAAAAATTTTGTATGCAATAAATTTCGCCAATATCATTATGAACCTAACGAAAAAAAAATATATTTCTTGTGTTTGTTTATATTAAATTATTGTAAACAAATATGAAATATATTTTTAGTTGAGTTAGGCTAAAATAATTGCGCTTGTATTATAAGGGTTAGGTAAGTGTTCCTAAGTTTACCTTTGGTGCATAATGTAGTAATTTGTGCATATCATTAATAGAAAAAATATATATCTTTTATAACGTATAAGATTAAAATTCCTAGGAAGGACTTAATTTTAATGAGTTCTTGCAAATGACCAGTTTTACATATTCGGCACGACATATATATATATATATATATATATATTTATATTATCACATATTATATATATGTCGTGCCGAATATGTAAAAATAAAAAACTGGACATTAGGTGGGCAGAACTCATTTATTTAAAATTAAGTCCTTCCTTAAAAATTTATTTTTATACGTTTAATGATATTTTTTTTTCATTAATGATGATGCAAAAATTATAATTTTGCCCAAAAGGGAAAAATTAGAAACTTACCTAACCTTATTATAACATGCCGCCAATTTATTTTAGCCTAACTCAACTAAATATAATTTCAGATTTGTTTACAATAATTTCAATATTAAACAAACACCAGGAAATATATTTTTTTTCGTAGGTTCAGATGATTTTGCGCGAAATTAGTGCATAACAAATTTTCACTTGTTGTATATTGGCAAGATGGGCGTTGCATTTAAGCCAAATCGCAAGTTTGCCTATTCGGCACGACATATTTATACTTATATATATTATATATATATATATATATATTATATTATTATATATTATATTAATATATTATATATATATATTATATATATATAGATATATATTAGTGCATATACGTTTCACTCAAGGATTGAGCTTTGCTAATATTCTAACAGATAAAAACTAAAATACCTCTTTATGTATACATCCTGGGAGAGGGAAGGAGAGAAAGAAAGGTGAGTTCATGTCATATATGTAGCAAACGAGGGAGAAGCAGAAGGTCTAAGGGGTTACAATGTGCGTGTCGTGGGTTGACACGGCCTAGTGTTGGAGAAAAGGTCACTTGTAGAGAAGGCTGAAAAGAAAAGGTCCTAGATTCAGCTCGATATGTATGCAGTTTAATGGCCCATTGAGTAAAAACTTTCCTATTCAATCGAAATTCTTTTTTCTTTTTTAGAAAAACAGATTTGCTGTTAGATTATATTGCATTGAAACCAGCAGAGCTTTGTTTGTATTAGCGTTGTAAGGTGTATGAGGCTTGCTCGATTGTCGATTGAAACTGAGACAGCACAAGTATATTAGCACAGTCACACATAAGGAACAAACTCTGAACACCAGGAACAACATTCCACACAAGCAACAAGAAGTTCTAGAAATTATTAAAGAAAAAATCTCTCCCATAATATGCATGCACTTGGAGACTAATGATTGGATAAATGAAGATAAATACACACACGTGCTACTGGTCATTAGATCAACATGAACTCTTGTTGAGCCAGCAGTTGTACATTCCCAACCAGGATAAATTTATCCTGAGGTTGGGGACTGTGTACATACACGAGAGGCGCCGTTCAACTATATACACCGAGTTTATTTTTACTCATATTTTAGGTACTAAATAATCTGACGGGTGTCGTAAGTACAACGCAATTAGTCTTTTAAGTTAGGGAAACAGTTAATTTTGGGTTTGTGCGAGAAGAGTTGAGCTTTTTACTTGCGTAGGCGGTTAGTTTGCTGGAGAGTTTCTGCCCTCGCTTAGGGAAACGGTGGGATCGAGCCTTCCCCAAGCATTTTTCGCCTGAATAACCCACATGGGTTTAGCTCTTTATTTTATGATAATAATAGTGGAGAGTACAGCAGATATATGCAGACACACACGAGCTGAAGAAACAACATCCTCACCCCCAGTTTATGCTCCTCGGTGCCTAAGACTGACAAGGTCAGGTTGTTGAAAGACTCAGTGGAGCTGTACACGGTAATTTTTTTCTCACGACAATATATGACAGACTTCTGGACACCGTAGAAGATGCTGGCGATGAAGGAGGTGGAGTTACTGTGGTGGTCATTGATCTGCTCGTTGTTGCTAGACTGAAAAAAAAAAATGCGTTTACTTAATGCCGCTAGTGAGGCTAGTTTATTGTGTTCCCACAGCCTCATCATGGGAGACAGCACAAAGTTACAGAAGTCATAAATAATTCTTTAAAATATTACAGCCATTTCAACTATTAGTCTCACAAGGTGGGGAATCCTAAGAGAGAAGAGTTTCTCTTTCACTCTTTGCAGGAGGATCAGGCTTAGCGTTTCATATAAAAATAATAATTAATAATAATAATAATACAGATGTGGGTCCATACAGGTGCTTCATATTACAATATGTGCATGACATACACGGTGTGTGTGTGTGTGTGTGTGTGTGTGTGTGTGTGTGTGTGTGTGTGTGTGTGTGTGTGTGTGTGTGTGTGTGTGTGTGTGTCTGTCTGTCTGTCTTAGAGCAAGCAGTAGTGGGGACTCGGTCCTCCCTCAAAATACCAATATAAATATAGTCCTATGTAGCCAGACTGGCCTTCCAGAGCGCCTTACCTTGGAGAGGTCGTTATGCAGGCACTGCAGCAGAGCTAAGAACAGGTCGTGGGCCTCCTGCTGATCATGGCCCTCAAACTCACTGTCGTGCTTTGCCATCACTTTCTGTGGAGAGTCCATGTTGATAGTGAGCCTCAGAGTGATGTGAAGGCATCAATCAGTACTGTAACGAGCGTCATATTAATGCAACCAGGATCAAATGGTCCAAGTCGGACCGAAACGTCGTTGTAAGCTCCTCTCTCTCCTATGTGCGGGAAATTTGTGTATCAGTGGTGTAGCGAGCTTGGCTCATATTACTGAAGTAAGGATCATTGTGGTGTAGTGAGGGGCGCCATGTTAGGGAAGTGAGGAACATACGTGAGACAGACCAACCTTAAATTTCCTGATGGACTCGTCAGTCTTAGTACCAGAGTTGAGAGCTTGGAAGACCTCGGCGAGTGCCAGTGCCACCTCCCCCTTCTGCTCGCTCATATTGTTCAGGTCCTTCCTGTAAGGGAGAGAGAGAGTTCAGGTCTTTCTTGTCAGGGAGTAACATAGTACAGGTCCTTCCTGTCAGGGAGAAAGAGCTCAGGTCCTTTCTCTCAGGGGGGGAAATATAGTTCAGGTCCTTCATTTTAAGGAGTAATATAGTTCGGGTTCTTTCTGTCAGGGAGTAATATAGTTCAGGTCCTTTCTGTTGTCAGCATAGCTACTGAATATGTTTGTGTAGCATATCTGAGTATCGTAGTTAATACCATCTATATTTTTTATATATACGATCCCTTGCTAGGCCTAGGGGATAGCATGTGACGTCACGTGGTGCCACATGTGAGCGTCAGTTACCCTGCCTCTCTCTCAGTTCCCGGATAGACCCACAGGCAAGAACAAGGCTAGGCTGGGCTTCCCCTCACGACTCTGCAAATACAAGTGTTACCAGCCATACCCAAGTGTATTACTACACCACCTAGAACCCCCACGTTACACTGTCAGGGAGTAATATAGTTCAGGTCCTTCCTGCCAGGGAGTAATATAGTTCAGGTCCTTCCTGCCAGGGAGTAATATAGTTCAGGTCCTTCCTGCCAGGGAGTAATATAGTTCAGGTCCTTCCTGTCAAGGAGTAATATAGTTCAGGTCCTTCCTGCCAGGGAGTAATATAGTTCAGGTCCTTCCTGCCAGGGAGTAATATAGTTCAGGTCCTTCCTGTCAAGGAGTAATATAGTTCAGGTCCTTCCTGCCAGGGAGTAATATAGTTCAGGTCCTTCCTGTCAAGGAGTAATATAGTTCAGGTCCTTCCTGTCAGGGATTAATATAATTCAGGTCCTTCCTGTCAGGGAGTAATATAGTTCAGGTCCTTCCTGTCAGGGAGTAATATAGTTCAGGTCCTTCCTGTCAGGGAGTAATATAGTTCAGGTCCTTCCTGTCAGGGAGTAATATAGTTCCGGTCCTTCCTGTCAGGGAGTAATATAGTTCCGGTCCTTCCTGTCAAGGAGTAATATAGTTCAGGTCCTTCCTGTCAAGGAGTAATATAGTTCAGGTCCTTCCTGTCAAGGAGTAATATAGTTCAGGTCATTCCTGTCAAGGAGTAATATAGTTCAGGTTCTTCCTGTCAAGGAGTAATATAGTTCAGGTCCTTCCTGTCAAGGAGTAATATAGTTCAGGTCCTTCTAGTAAGAAAAGATGTTTCATGCACTTTCTGAAAGGGAAAAAAAGTTGGTTCGGTCTAAACTAAAAGGGTAACGCTAGTTCGTTTTTTTCCTCCTTTAAAAGGGCAAAGATGGTTTGTGTTAACACCTGTAATGGGATCGATGGTGTGCTAGTGGACACACCAGAACACATTAGCACGCAACACGTGAGACACAGTTGTTAAATACAGGGTGTTTCAAAGAGATGGACCCAATCTCAGACTGCTTTGAAATTGGGTCCATCCTCTTGAAACACCCTGTATCACCTTACACAGGATGGTTACAAAGGTACGCTGCCAACGGCCATTAAGAAAGGACTCGGGTCTGCAGAAAAACGATCTATTGTGACAACGTTTCGCTCTATGTGGAGCTTTATTCAGTCAATGAATTGACTTAATAAAGCTCTGCACAGAGAAGCGTTGTCCCATTAGAGGGTTGCTCTGGTACATGTACATTGTTGTCAATAATCCACACAAGCAGTTTGGTCCATGCTGTGGCCTGCTTCTTGATTCGCTGGTACTCTCCCGGTCCAGGCCTTCTTTAAGTGGTGGCCCGGCCTTGGCTCCCTTTCTCGGGAGTATCTCAGACTAATGTCTGCCATGGGAGGAGGTACAATACCTCCTCATCGTCGGGACCAACTGTCCCCAGGTCTAGCCACATTCCCCGCCCTCACGGGGCTCGTAGGGAAAAGCTAGGCCTCTCTGATCTGCCATCCCCACCTCAAGGAGGCTAATGGGAATGGCAGTCTTGTGATGTGGCCTGCGTGTCGGCCATCTGTGTATACCGTGTCACCCATCACCCAGTTGGTTCACTACCACATTCTTCAAGCTAGGTCTTCGTCTGTAATATACATACCATGCCAATCTTTCAACCATAAACATCCAAGAATGTTGATTAATGACGCACTTGTGTCTCATTAATCCGCTGGCGTGGAAACTTTCCACTAGCCAGTCACTGGCGTGGAAACGTTCCGCTAGCCAGTCACTGGCGTGGAAACGTTCCGCTAGCCAGTCACTGGCTAGCGGAACGGTTTCACAGTAAAGATACCCAAAAATGTTAAACAAGTATCTCATTCGTCAACTTCTCGGTTTTCTAAATCATTTATATAATTCTCCAGGAAAGTGCCTCATATGGAACATTTTTTTCAAAGATAACCTTAGAATTATATATTTTACACGACAGTCATTCACCCATAATAAATTGTGAATGACCTGGTGGACTTATTGAGAGATCTGTGTGAAATATCATTCAATATTCGTAGTGCAGAAGGGTAGGCTGCTTGCCCCACTTTTCGTGGGTCGGCAGTTCGAGCATGTAGAAATTCCCCTCCCCCCTTTTTTTTAATTTATGACTGTCTCTTATCCATTCTGTTATCTCCATAACAGTCTTCTACCTATAATATTACCTCTATCAGAGTTTACCCTACATGAGAGCCTAATTTATACGATAAATAAACTAATTTGCAATCGCTAGTCAACAGAAATTAGCACATTAACCTGATATACACTAAGATATTACAAGCTGAAGACGGGACACCACGAGCATGGGTCTACTGCTGTAACTTTTGGTTCCACATAATTTAATAATTGATTTTTCAGACTTACTTGTATTTCTCACTGATAAAATACTGCCGAAGAGCCTGTATGCTATAAAGACACTGGATGATGGAGTTGATGTAGCAGGTGTTGCCAAAGTTAGGGAGTCCCACGGGCGCCTCTCTCTGCAAGCATAAATAGTGTTTTCACATTGAATACTAATGCCTATTACAGACAATACTGAGGAAAAGACAGGTAACGGGGCAAGCTTTCATTGGTATCTTGGGTACGAATCGATTGTTGTGGGTGGCATCTTGGGGGGAAGGTAGTATCTCTTAGAATTGGTTGTGCTTTGAAATGAGTCGATTGAGGATAACGCTTAGGCTTTGAATTAACCTGTGTAATAAAAAAAAGAGGTAATCCTGCAAGTTGATAAATTAGACACGTGTGCAACACTTGGGTATCTTTATTGAAGATTGGTATCACATTTATCCAATGTGGAAGTAGGTCGTGCCCAAAGGTTAGGCAAGTGAAGAATTCTCTGTATTAAGATCCCAAGATGTTGCTGTGTCAGACAGGAATGTAGATGAATGGTTCAAAGAACCGACAAGTTGATAAATTAGACACACCCAGCTGTTGCACACGTGTCTAATTTATCAACTTGTCGGTTCTTTGAACCATTCATCTACAATCCTGCAAGTGCTGATGACAGGAACATAAAACCATAGATCACTGCGGTAGGCCTCCTAGCCTATGCTAGACAGGTCTTTCTCAAACAGAACTATTCTCATATATTTGCCTAAAGTAGAAGTTGGACTCACCTGCAAGGCCAGAGGGGACTTGGAGGCCAAGGCTCTGTACCTCCTGGTCTCCGTTTCTTTCTCCCGCAGCTGCACCTTCAGGATGGAGATCTCATGCTCGCTCTTCGTCAGTTGATGTTTCAACTCCCCAACAAGGTCCTCCTGCTGCATCGTTCATAAGATATTTATTTAATTCTTAACTTTATCTGGAATTATTCTTTTTTATTCAACGCAAGGACTGGCGGAGGCTCGATCGATCGTTGGAAAATGTCGGTCTGATCCCCGCTTAGTCTCATAAGAAGGACAACAGAAACACAGGTAATTTCAAGATTTCATCCATGCCTTTCAAGTTATTGTCGGGACGAAAACGTGACTTCCTATGATTCTATTTCTATCGAGCTAACAGTATTAATGGAAAAGTTGCACGAAGTGTAAAGATGGATGAAAAACTTTTATGAATTAAAATCTGGTAGGGAGTGGTTCATCTATCAGTAGTGCTATTTTCTTGATTTTATTTTGTATCTAGATAACAAAAAACTTCAGATCTGAAGTAAATGCTTTGTCATTATCAGTCAGGTGTTATGATTTAGATTTAAGAACTAAATAACACGAGAAAAAGGATGTCATGCTAGGCTGGTATGAACACAGGCAGCCCGACCCGTCACTACCACCTCGCTCCTTCATGGAGGCTGCCTTAACACTAGTGAAAATTCTCTCTGATTCAAGAGCTTTCCACCCGATCAAACCTGATTACCTCCCACTCACAGCAAATTGTTTCAGCTCTGGTAAATTTAGCTGCCACCGATAAATGCAACTGTACCCTGGCTCATTACTTGTTAAAATCAGCAGCCTCATTCCTTACTCTGAATAACACAAGGGTTTAACAGAATAACACAGGTGTTTAACACTTACAGAATAACACAAGTGTTTAGTACTTAAAGAATAATACAAGGGTTCAAAGCTTAAAGATAACATATTACAGTGCATAGTTATTACAGTTTATATACCTGGAGGGTGTTCCGGGGGTGAACGCCCCCGTGGCCTGGTCCATCACCAGGTGTGGTTACAGTTTTATGAAAACATATTACATCTAAGAAAGCCATTGTTATATATAACATTTTGTGAGCCACAGTCGATGTAATATTCACCTGGTGGTACTGCTGCAGCTGCTGCCTGGTCTCGCGCAGCTCCAGCTGCAGAGCTTCGATGGTCCGCTCCTTGTCTAGTCGTTCACTGAGCCATTGGTGTTCCTTACTCCTCAGTTCCTCTTCAACCTCCTCTCTCAGTCTCTGATGCAAGTGTTCGCACTCGAATTAGTGTCCCATATGGGTCTGGCACTTGTTTTTTAAATAATAATAATAATAATAATAATAATAACAATAATAAATCGAATTAGTGTTTCTTCGCTGCAGTTGAATGGTTCTTAGTCCAAGGATTTGGAACCACCCTTCCCGTCTTTAGATCAAACTTGATTACTCACGAAATCGTAATAAAAAAAAATCACGGAGCGGGTGGGGTTTGAACCTAAGGTGGGGCGTGTCCTAAAAGTAACAGACCAGTGCGTTAACCACTGGACCCAGCTGGCTCTAATAGGATTCACCCAACTAGGTATATTTTCACAAACCACGAGGGTAGCTTGAGCCCAACTGTGACCACAAATATACTTCATAAACAGTTCGTAAATGGCATACATACTAGAACATAAATAAAAATTCTGATCCCTGTAAGACATTAAAAATGACACCCCTTTCTTGCACATTGCAAACGATAATCAACATATTCTCGACACTCTTCTTGACATCCCAGTTTGCCTGCACACCTCTGAACCTTCAGTGCAGAAACTACAGATATACTGCAGTAGCAACCATTGCAACAGTAGGATCCCAGATAGCAGGAGGATCCCAGATAACAGTAGGATCCCAGATAACAGTAGAACCCAAGATAACAGTAGAACCCATGATAACAGTAGCAGTAACCTACACTCTCCGACCAATTCTTAAGGATGAAAACAATTTATAACAAGATTGAGGTGTATTCTCGAGACACGACAGAGAGCAGTTCGAGTCAAGGTGAAGCTACTAATTATGGGAAGTTTCAATACCAGTGAGATGGACTCGAGAGCTGGGAACATCTTGGTAGAAGACACACATGGAAAATAAAACAATGTATAAAGTTTTCTTATAGTGTTCTTGGTGAAACATGTCAAAGATGCCAGATGGGTAAGAGATGACAAACCACCACTGCTAGATTGGGTCTTCACTCAAATCAAATAGGACTTACTTGGAATTGGATGCAGTGCTGGAAGGAGCCAGCGACCACATGGACATGACCTTCAAATATGTGAAAGTGGTGGGAATGTAGGGAAGATAGGACGAAACAAGCAGGGTTACAAAAAATATTAAATTATGAACAGGCGAGTAACGTCAGAATTGGGCAAGGACAAAGTCAGACTGCGCAAGAATGACATCACAGGGGGGGGGGGGGGCAAGGGTGATATCAGTGAGCAAGAGTGACGTAAGAGCAAAGTTGCAAGGATGAGCACCTCGGTTTAGGTTCGTAGTGATATTGTGAATGCCCTACCAAGGAAAAAGCCCAATATAACACATCACTGGGAGAAATATCAAGCATTGACGATTAAGACGAATGTGCTACAATTAACGGCAACCTTAGCAAGTATTATATCAGAGTGAAACCTGAAGTGGGAACACTACCAGCATAAAGATACTCAGATGTTACAAATGTGTCTATATTCTTCCTCTTGACGGTATAATGCCTGAGCTTGCTACCATTTGCAGCTCATAAGACTGCCATCCCCACGAGCCCCTTTGAGGCGGGGTAGATGGCAGACCAGAGGCCTAGCTTCTCCCTACGAGCCCCGTGAGGGCGGGGAATGTGGCTAGGCCTGGGGACACTTGGTCCCAAAGATGAGGAGGTACTTGTACCTCCTCCCATGGGAGACTTAAGTCTCGAGACACTCCCCAGATAGGGAGCCAAGGCCGGGTCACCACTACTTGGAGAAGACCCGGGCCGGGAGAATACCGGCGAAAAAAAAAAAAAAAAAAAAACACGTAGATCGATACCATGCCTAACCCTTCTAGGGTAGGGTAGGTGCCTGAGCCCGAGCCTTTAGCTCACAAGACTGTCATTCCCATTTGCCCCCTTAGGGCGGGGATGGCAGACCAGAGAGGCCTAGCTTGTGGCTAGGCCTGGGGACAGTTGGTCCCAAAGATGAGGAGGTACTTCTGCCTCTTCCCATGGGAGACTTAGGTCTCAGACACTCCCTAAAGAGGGAGCCAAGGCCGGGCCACCACTTGGAAAAGGCCCGGGCCGGGAGAATACCGGCGAATCTTTAATAATAATAATAAACACTCACGTAGATCGACACCATGCCCAGCCCTTCTAGGGTAGGGTAGGTGCCTGAGCCAGAGCCTGCAGCTCACAAGACTGTCATTCCCATTAGCCCTCTTGGGGCGGGGATGGCAGACCAGAGAGGCCTAGCTTCTCCCTAAGACCCCCGTGAGGGCGGGGAATGTGGCTAGGCCTGGGGACAGTTGGTCCCAAAGATGAGGGGGTACTTTTACCTCCTCCCATGGGAGACTTAGGTCTCAGACACTCCCAAGACAGGGAGCCAAGGCCGGGCCACCACTTGGAAAAGGCCCGGGCCGGGAGAATACCGGCAAATCTTCAATAATAATAATAACACTCACGTACACACTACGAGCATAGTTGTGCTCATGCAACTACGACCACTGAAAACAGACACCACAAGTAGAATTCTTCGAGCACAACATAGATTTCAGGGCCTGACATAGCCTCATTTACACTTAAGAGTCTCACCTCCCCGCCTGAAGATGATGGTCTTTTGAGCTCCTGAATTTCTTGTTCCATGTTGGCGATGTGTGTGTCCTGAGTGGTGACCAGATGTTCCAACTTGGTCAGCTCTTGTCTCAAGACCAACTGCTCTGTCTTACCCTTGATTACCTCTTTCCTGGTTTGTTTCAGTTCCTCCTGAGAGGGTAGTAAGGTTAAAGACAACGAATAATACGATTAATAATAATAAGGTTAAAGACAATGAATAATACGATTAATAACAATATGATTCATCACATCACAGCTCCTGATCTGAACACTTCAAAGAAAATCCCCTGATGCTTATGAACCTCTCTTGATCCAAGGCGTTCTCCTCCTTCAGATCAAACCTGAGTTCTCCCCCAGAGCAGAATTGCCTCAAACACACCTGGATGCTGAGACAATCCTTCTCAGCGCTTTCCTTCTTGTGTGTGACACTCCTCAGCTCCGTCTTGAGTGCTGAGATGATCCGTTTGTAGTCTTCTGCCTTTAGGATAGCTGTCACCTGTTGCTGCTCCTGCGTCTCCTGCGTGGTGGATTGTTTTGACAGTATCCAATTAATTTGGCTTTGTTTTACATAATTTACTAATGTAAGCACATGGCACAAGGCTTTAGCACTTAAGGGGCACGTCAGATCCCCTGTCTTCTAATAATATGTTATTTTTCCACTATAATGCACATTGTCCATAATTACTATCGTATTTACTTTGTCTGTTTTCGTAAGGTGAAGTCCAGGATCTTTCCTTAATTCATGATATAACTTAAATGTTTGAGGACAATTGTGTTGTAGAAGTCTGAGTTGTGCTCACACCCCTACAACACAATTGTCTTCAAAGATTTGATAAGTTATACCATGAATTAAAGAGAGATCCTGGACTTCACCTTACGAAACAGATAAAGTAAATGCGATAGTAATTATGGACAGGGTAAATTATAGTGGAAAAATAAACATATTAGGAGACAGGGAAACTCACGCGCCTCTAAAAGATACAGTGGAACCCCAGTATTTGAACTCAATTGGTTCCTAGGTGGTGTTCGAACTGCGAAAAGTTCGATGTCCGAAACATTATTACCCAGGCTTTAATTATCAGCCTCACACACACTGGAAGATGTTGAACTCTTCCAAGTCTCTGAGAGTCAGGTCAGTGTCAGAGGTCACTTCAAAGCACTTTTGAAACAGGGTTTTCCTGTAAAGTTTTTTTTTTTTACAATTGAATTTTAAACAAGTCAGCGCGTTCGGACTCCAGAAAAACGTTCAAAGATTGGGTCAGTTTTTTCCGAACAAAATTGTTCGGACTCTCAGTTTGGTCGAGGTTCGGTGCGTTCGAACACCGAGGTTCCATTGTAAACTGATTTCCCTACAAAATACAGGTTGCATTGGATGATTTTTACAATCTGTATGGTTACAGTTCCATGCTCAGGCAGTATTTCTTATATTTATGTGAAACGCTAAACCAACTGGAGGCTCGATCCTCCGTCCTGTAATCCGGAGATAAAACAAGCTTCTGTCGCAGCTAGCTAGGCTCAGACAGTAGTTATTATAATTATTATAATCATGGGGAGCGCTAAACCCGTAGGGATTATGTAGTGCCTGTGGGCTGTCTTCAGACACTCAAAGCAGTATCCAGTCACTTCCAATAGCGTTCAGACACATTTGGCCGCGTTCAGACATATTTGGCCGCGTTCACTCACTCAAAGCCGCGTTCGGTCATTCACGGTTGCGTTCAGACTCATGGTCGCGTTCAGCCGTCGCGGCTACGTTCACTTACCCAGTTGTCGTCATCCAGGGTTGATAGTGGGTCTCTGGACTCAACAATGATGATGGGTCTGGCTGCGTGGATGCCGGCCGTCTCCATGCTCACCTCCTGGAAAGACAAACATCACAGACTACAAACACTTCAGAGAGAACACAAAAGAACTAAGCGCTTTAATTAAGCGGCATGTAAAGACAGTGTGGAACGATCCTTAATTACAGAGAACGTTTCGCTCTGCGTAGAGCATCTCTAGAGTCGATAAAGCTCTACATAGCACGAAACATCGTCTATAATAGATTTGTTCTCCAGTACTTGTCAGGCAATACCTGACATTTTTCAGTACGTTAAACATCGTTGAACGAACAGTTTAAGGGTTAACAATTATTTCACAACATGGACGACGTTTCGGTCCGTCCTGGACTATTATCAATTAGCAAATATGAGGGAATACGGGAGAAAAGTTTTTTTTTTCTCCCTAAGCTTCGCCTCGAACCTAGACCTTGATGGAACAACAAGAAACTTGAGCTTCGGCATTCTGACGCAGCCGATACTAGCAGCAGCAACAGCCTGTTACCTAAGCTTTTTTGGGTCATTTTAGGTAATTTAAACATATGTTACTATGTAAAACAACCACCGGGGGGAGCTGAATGATAGCTCTAGGCCTATCGTGTTGCTATCATTCAATTCCCCCTCTGGTTGTTTTGCATCTTGTATCGCTTTTTTGCGATTATAACATGTTACTATGTATGATAGTTGTACTTTTGTGCATCTGTACCTAAATAAACTTCGACGTGATGATGGTGGCCTGGTGGCTAAAGTTCCCGCTTCACACATGGAGGGTCCGGGTTCGATTCCCGGCGGGTGAAAACATTTCGACACGTTTCCTTACACCTGTTGTCCTGTTCACCTAGCAGCAAATAGGTACCTGGGTGTTAGTAGACTGGTGTGGGTCGCATCCTGGGGGACAAGATTGAGGACTCCAATGGAAATAAGTTAGGCAGTCCTCGATGACGTACTGACTTTCTTGGGTTATCCTGGGTGGCTAACCCTCCGGGTTTAAAAATCCGAACGAAATCTTACACGGGTTATGCAGAGGGCGAGCTGAACAAAAGTCACCCCAATAACGACAATTTTCTGTGATATGCATTTATCCGTAACTGTCTTATAACCGCCTCAAACTTTCATCAATACTTTCTCGGTACTCGAGGAAACTCCCTCGAAGGATTGTGCAATTTTCTCGAGATCGAGTGCAACGTAAAGAGAATGCTGGTGAGGCACTGGACATATGTAAGTGAATGGAGGCAAGAGCCTTCACCAGTCCTGAATCATCCACATGAGTGATAAGATAAAACAATATTTGTTGACATTTTTACCCCGGTAGGCTAGTCACCCAGGATGATGAAAGAGACTTGTACAAGTGTCTCTTTAATAATATATCTATTTCTACAAGTACAAGGTATACAAGCCTAGTTGACATACTGCTATATAGAAAGCTGCTTGTTATGCTGAGCATTTCAGGCAAATTAGGTCAATTTTGTCCCAGGATGCGACCCACACCAGTCGACTAACACCCAGGTTCCCTTTTACTGATAGGCTAACATGGACATGTGTAAAGAAATACTCCCAATGTTTTCACTCATGCCGGGAATCGAACCTGGACCTTCAGCGTGTGACTCGAGAGCTGTGCCTACCAAGCTACGAGCCATCCTTTAACTTGTCGTTTTTCTAAACTATTTACATCATACCCAGGATACCCTAATGAAGTCAGTGCGTCATCGAGGACTGTCTTATTTACATCCAGGTCCTTAATCTTGTCCCCCACGATGCGACTCGCAACAGTCGACTAACACCCAGGTACCTACTTACTGCTAGGTAAACAGGGACAGCAGGTGTAAGGTGATATAAATAACGGGAAGGGAGTTAGGGCGGCAATATACACGCAAGAACACTTGAATTACTGAATAATTGGATCCCATTGGAAATTAGTCACTTCGACTTGTTTGGAGTTATCCTAGATAATTTACACTATGTATGATAATTGTACTTATTTGTACCTGTGCCTAAAAACTTACTTAATAAGAAACACTGTCTGGGTAGAATTTTCGGTGGGGCATGAAAAATTGAAGGTTTGCAGTGTGTGATCTGGTGACACTGTCAGCTGTCAAATACAAGTTTTAGTTGTCTAAAAAAAATGTGGTCGCATTTTTGGAAATTTTGGAGAGAGGCGAGGCGAAGTTTTGATAAAATTTGTATGGTATTTGCTAATATAATATTTTAATGGAATGAGCAATTGTCATTATTTTTCTTGTTATTACAGTGGGTATTACCTGATAAAAGTTAATGAATTAGAGATAAATATATAAAGCTGACATTCCTTTACAAGAATTATAGGAAGATGCAATACCATATGTTTACCTGTTGTGTAGGATTGTGACTTGTGTTGCTGCTGCTGTTGTTGTTGCTGCTGTTGTTGCTGCTGCTGTTGCTGGTGCTGCTGCTGTTGCTGGTGGTGGTGGTGCTGCTGCTGCTGTTGGTGGTGCTGTTACTAATGTTGGTGCTGTTTATGTTTGCACTTTTGCTGTTAGTACTGCTGCTGTGTTGGGCTGCATAACCTGGCTTCACGTTCCTTGTGAACTTCGACGGTTTATCTCCCTCGATGGAGAGCTCTGTGTGTGAGGCTTTTCTTGGGGTGTACATGGTCGTTGGTTCATGGTTATAGAGGCGACCGAGTGAGCCTCTCCTAAGATGTAGCTTGTTCGGTAGCTCTCTGTTGGTGTTGTCCAGCCCTTCGAGAGAATTAGGCCGCTTGAGGGAGGTGGGCCTCCTGATGTTTACATTGATATTGTCCGCCTCTGCTCTACCATCGTGTGATGAGCTTCGCTGGGCTAAGACCCGAGGTTTGGTCATGGTTCTGGTACCAAAGATGTGTTCCGTTGAACTTGGTTGCTTCAGAAGGGAAGGGATAGTCCTCCTTTCTGTTATGCCCTGATTCAACTCATCTCTGCTGCCGTAGAATCGGCCTTGCCTTCCTTGACTATTGCCAGAGGTCGTGTTCGGCGTCTTCTCCAGTAGGAGTATGTTCAGTTCTCCCGTGCTCTTCGACAAGTGTTTGAGAGCTGTACCTTGCTTATTGTAGTGGCCGTCTGCTGCGTCCTCTCTGGACACCTGACCACTGATCTGGTATCTTCTATTACCGCCTACATGTTCCTGAAAGTATGGTGTACAGTACACATATATTGAAATTTTAGCGAAAAAATAGAATTTCCTACAAGTGCCAGAAAAGTGTCAATTTTAATAGTATACAATATCGACTAGTTATATGAACAAGACACACAAGTTTAGTACTTGGGTATCATTATGGCCGAAACGCTTCTTCAGTCGAATACTGTCATTAGTATTCACCTGTATGCGGAGCCTATTGCGCGGGCGAAATGTTTCGACAATAAATATACCCCAGTTACGTGTGTGACTTACTCACCGTGCTTGAAAATTCTTAAATTCTATGACTGCACACCTGAATCCCGCTACTCGTGAAGCCTATTCTCAAACAGCAGGAAAAAAAATCACGATTTATCCAAGAAGTTTCCCCAAATTCCGTGGGACTGGAGCTATCATCCTCTTCCTGAGATCAAACCTAAGTACCTCCCAGTCCCTAGGCTTTGTGTGACCCCCTAAGGGTCTAGCGCTTCCCCATAAATAATAATAACCACGAATTAGCATTATTATAGTTCCGGGAAGCGCTAAACAAGTGTGGGTGTTTCAGAATGGGCAGTCCTGAAGGCTCGATCCTCTGATTGCTGTTTGTTTTCAAGGTGACTTATGAGTCACTGACTAGCAGACATTCAAAGGACATACCTTGTTGGGCAGCAGGTTTGAGGGTTGACCTGATTTGTGTGCTAACTGTTCATATTTGTTTATGAAGTTTCTTATGCTCGGGTTCTGCTCTGCTCTCGCCTCCACACTCCCGACCTGTGAAAGTTACCAGGCGATTTACAAGGTATATTTGCCATCATAAAATCAATTTTATATGTTCTTTAATATTTATTAATAATAAAACTGTCTCTGAAAATTTTACGCATAAAAAAAACGTTTAAGTCGCTGTGTACGGCTCACACGAACCTGAAATTGCTGTCTGTTACCTTTGTCTAAATGCTCGGTTGGTAGCGCACTCAGCTCACACATTGATGTCCGTGGTTCGATCCCCGGTACGGGCGGAAATATTGGAGCGGGTTTCCTTAAGATACCTGCTGTCCCTGCTCACCTAACAGTAAATAGGTACCTGGGTGTTAGCCCACTGGTGTGGGTCGTATCCTGGGGACAAAATTAACCTAAGTTGCCCGAAATGCTCTGCATAACAAGTGGAATTAGATACATGTGCAACATCTGAGTATCTTTATTTGTAGATGTTTCACCATCCAGTGGCTTTATTAATATAAGGACATAATGTGAAGAATGTAGAACTATATATAAAGATAATCAGTCCCTTGTATTGAATTGATAAAGCCACTGGATGGCGAAACGTCTACAAATAAAGATACCCAGATGTTGCACATGTATCTGTCAAATTCCTCGTTGGTATTATATACCATTCATATATATACAGTATGTCACTGATGTCGACTAGGCCTGTATACGTCCTATCATGCACTTGTAAAAATAAAGGTTATTGTTATTATAGCTCTTGCTTGAAAACAGCGTGTTTGACCGCCAACGTGGCGGACACAGCTGCTCGACTCACGTGACTACAGACTGTCTTCTAACAGGGTACATCAGTGAGTGCCTCTGGTTGCGACTCGACTATAGAGCAACACTGAAAGGGTCGTCATATGAAGACTCATGTTAGGTGATTCTTCATGATGACTTCAGTAACGACACACTCTCTGAATATAACAGTTAATAAACACACGAGCTCAACGATAACAACCGCTTGGTTCCTGACCTTATCGCAGGCCCGTGACCCTTTCTGGAGGTCAGTGTGACTGGTGGCTCCCCGGCGGTCATAGATGGTGGGTGGTGGTACACGGCTTGTGTGAACGCCGGGGATACTGTTTGAAACCTTGTTGAACACTGCTCCCGGGTTATCAGACCTCCTCTTGGTGTCTGCGAACGTTGGTATTCCACTCTGAAATGGAAGATGATAAGGAATTGAGAGGTAAATACATGAAGGTACGTGTGCATTTTTTTCATATTTGCAGTCACGTATTTTATTGTGATTTCTTCCATGAAAGTATACAAATGTGTTGTTGAAACCGAGACTTAACGTTGGTGTACCGGTACACCCCTTTAAAATTACCGAAAACGTTGTTTAATGTTAATTGGGGGATTTAAATAAACTCAGCAAGTGTATATAAACACACACATACACACACACACACACACACACACACACACACACACACACACACACACACACACACACACATCGATACCTCAAAGGCAGTGGGACCAGACAACATCTCCCCGTGGGTCCTTAGAGAGGGAGCAGATATGTTGTGCGTGCCACTTACCACAATCTTCAACACATCCCTGGAAACTGGGCAACTACCTGAGGTATGGAAGACGGCAAATGTAGTTCCCATTTTTAAAAAAGGAGACAGAAAAGAGGCACTAAACTATAGACCTGTATTATTGACGTGTATAGTATGCAAAATTATGGAGAAGATTATCAGGAGGAGAGTGGTGGAGCACCTGGAACGGAACAGGAGTATAAATGCCAACCAGCACGGATTCACGGAAGGCAAATCCTGTGTCACAAACCTTCTGGAGTTTTATGATAAAATAACAGAAGTAAGACAAGAGAGAGAGGGGTGGGTTGATTGCATCTTCTTGGACTGCAAGAAGGCCTTTGACACAGTTCCTCACAAGAGATTAGTGCAGAAGCTAGAGCATCAGGCGCATATAACAGGAAGGGCACTGCAATGGATCAGAGAATACCTGACAGGGAGGCAACAACGAGTCATGGTACGTAATGATGTATCACAGTGGGCACCTGTGACGAGCGGGGTCCCACAGGGGTCGGTCCTAGGACCAGTGCTATTTTTGGTATATGTGAACGACATGACGGAAGGGTTAGACTCAGAAGTGTCCCTGTTTGCAGATGATGTGAAGTTAATGAGGAGAATTAAATCTGATGAGGACCAGGCAGGACTTCAAAGAGACCTGGACAGACTGGACACCTGGTCCAGCAAATGGCTTCTCGAATTTAATCCTGCCAAATGCAAAGTCATGAAGATGGGGGAGGGGCACAAAAGACCACAGACAGAGTATAGGCTAGGTGGCCAAAGACTGCAAACCTCACTCAAGGAGAAAGATCTTGGGGTGAGTATAACACCGAGCATGTCTCCGGAAGCACACATCAATCAGATAACTGCTGCAGCATATGGGCGCCTGGCAAACCTGAGAACAGCATTCCGATACCTTAGTAAGGAATCATTCAAGACACTGTACACCGTGTATGTCAGGCCCATACTGGAGTATGCAGCACCTGTTTGGAACCCGCACTTGATAAAGCACGTCAAGAAACTAGAGAAAGTACAAAGGTTTGCGACAAGGTTAGTTCCAGAGCTAAGGGGAATGTCCTATGAGGAAAGATTAAGGGAAATCGGCCTGACCACACTGGAGGACAGGAGGGTCAGGGGAGACATGATAACGACATATAAAATACTGCGTGGAATAGACAAGGTGGACAAAGACAGGATGTTCCAGGGAGGGGACACAGAAACAAGAGGCCACAATTGGAAGTTGAAGACACAAATGAGTCAGAGAGATAGTAGGAAGTATTTCTTCAGTCATAGAGTTGTAAGGCAGTGGAATAGCCTAGAAAATGACGTAGTGGAGGCAGGAACCATACACAGTTTTAAGACGAGGTTTGATAAAGCTCATGGAGCGGGGAGAGAGAGGGCCTAGTAGCAACCGGTGAAGAGGCGGGGCCAGGAGCTAGGACTCGACCCCTGCAACCACAAATAGGTGAGTACAAATAGGTGAGTACACACACTCTTACCTCTCGTGTAGAACAAGCTTCTATTAGGACAACGTTTCGCTCTGTGTAGAGCTTCAACTAATGACATAATGAAGCTCGAGCGAAACTTTGTCCCAAGGGAAGCCTCTTCTGCAGCGTTTACCTTATTCCTAGTGTATCTCCTTTTAATGTTTAAATAATAAGGTATAACAAGGACGCCAATCAGTCTCAAAATAATGAATCTTAACTAGTCATAAGTTGGCCTGTGATACTCCAATACTGAAACTATGTACTGTGCCAAAACAAAAGCATTCACATTGCTAAACTCACAAACTAGTATTTAGTCACTTAGCCATAATACCAACTTACCTCATAATTTTGTAATATTTTAAACTTAAGATTTAATTTAAGTCTGCCCGAAATGCCTAGCCATGCTAGGTGTTCTAGTGGCACACTCTGCAATTATTATTTTACTACGTGTAAACCACATAACCAAATTCTGTAAACTCAGCATTGTAATCCTTATAGAGAATAAACTCTGAACTTGAACTAGACTTTCTTGAGTTATCCTGAGTAATCTACACATATGCTGCTATGTATGATAATTTATATAACTCTATTTGTGTACCTTTACCTGGAGTATACCTGGAGAAGATTTCGGGGGTTAACGCCCCCGCGGCCGGTCTGAGACCAGGCCTCGTGGTGAATCAGGGTCTGATCAACCAGGCTGTTACTGCTGGTCGCACGCAACCCGACGTACGAACCACAGCCCAGTTGATCAGGTACCGACTTTAAGTGCCTATCCAGTGCCTTCTTGAAGACAGCCAGGGGTCCGTTGGTAATATCCCCCTTACGTATGCTGGGAGGCAGTTAAACAGTCTTGGGCCCCAAACACTTATTGTGCTGTCATTGAATAAACCTACTAACTTATGTTGTCTTCACTACTCTCAGCAGTACGACCTTCGTACTCAACATCAACACCCTTGGTGACACAGCTCCTCACATCACCATAATTTCAACTTTTTTGCGTGTTATTCCAGATCACATTATTATAATTTGACATAATTATGTGCCTAAAGCAACTGAGTATTCATTACAACTATCGTATAATTCTACAGCAGTCCGTAAAATAAAAATATGTAGAGGACTTAGACAAGCTTATCTTATCATGTATTAATTATTTTTTTTTTTCATAAGTTTGGGGTTAAAGTTACTTGAAAGTTGATGGCTGGGGATCCTCAGTGTAAGTTTATTTAGGTACAGATACACTTCAATTCAATTATAATTATAACCATGATTTTTAAAGAGGTGGACCTTAAACCAGTGGAAGGCCTCGTTCAGGTGACCAAAAGCTCCAGCTGCGGGTCATCATATGACTAAGACCCTCGTCAGGAAACACTCGTCGTGTTTCCTGACAAGCCTTACCTAACTTAAGTACAATTGTTATGCACAGTGTAAATTATTACCTGGGATAACCCAGAAAAGTTAGACAAAGTGACTTATTTCCATAAAGTGTGTTTTTCTTTAAGGAACTGGAGTTACTTTCCTAATCCTCGGATCAAGCAACATTGCCTCCTATTCCCCAGGCACTGTATGACTCGTGGATTTCGCGCTTCATTCATTTTTATAATAAGACTCACCTTACGTTGAGTGCTACCAGCTCCTGTCATCCTGGAGGAGGGAGATGAAGGTTCTGTGGTGAGGGAGGTGGCTGGTACACCCTCTGCTGGCTCTGTGAGACTTTCCCGAGGCTCTCTGAGGCCAATTTGCTTCATGAAGCAAGCGTGGCACTGGCGTCGGCTCTGTCGTTGCTTGATGACACACTCCCTGCAGGAGGTGTGGCCACAGGTGCGGGTGACGGGATGACGAATCACAGTGTAGTCTCGTCGACAGTCAAAGCAAAAATCAGCCATTACCAGTGTCTGTAAAAGGAAGAGGGCCAGGACTCTTTCTCTCTCCGAATAATTGTTGCAGCAAATGCGCATTAGACACACCTAAGATTAGTTCTAGAAATCTAAGTCAGGAGTCATTCACGACAATGTATACAGTGTGCGTCAGGCCCATATTGGAGTATGCAGCACAAGTATGGAACCCACACCTGGTCAAGCATGTCAAGAATTTGGAGAAAGTGAAGAGGTTTGCAACAAGACAAGTCTCGGAGCTAAGGAATATGTCCTTCGAAAAGAGAGGCGAGAAGGACTAGAAGTGATATGATGACAACTTTCAAAGTATTTAGAGGAACTGATATGGTGGACAGGGACAGATTGTTTAAGAGACGGGAAACAGAAAAATGAGGGAACAGCTGGAAGGTGAAAACACAGATGAACCGCAGGGAAGTTAAGAACTATTTCTTCAGTCATTGAGTAGTTAGGAAGTGGATCGACCTGAAGAATGAAGTGGTAGAGGCAGGATCTATGCATAGCTTTAAGAAGAGGTGCGATAAGGCTCTGGAAGTCAGGAAAAAATTAATCTAATAGCGACCAGCGAAAAGGCGGGGCCAGGAGCCGAGACTCGTATCCTGCATCTACATATAGGTGAGTACAAACAATGGAATGCCTTACAAGAGGACGCGGAAGTACTGTAGCCACTGGAGATATAAAAACAAAATATATAATACATGAAATACTAAAGCCTGGACACAACCAACATAACTCTTGTTGTTGTAGCTACAAATATGGCATTACAAATGAATCACTTACATTATTGCCACTTTGCCGATCACTGATATGGAGATTGCTGTTAGTAGCAACTGCTTATCAAGCGAACCACAATTAATTACAAAAACTTGGTGGAAGGAGAAAATTATCCGTAACTAAAGGATATTTCGGTTGTGATGTAAATGATTTAGAAAACTGAGAAGTTGAAGAATGAGGCTCTTCTTCCACCATCCTTCTTTGTACTGGACTGAAGAAACCACTGGCTGGCGAAACGTTTCCTCAATAAAGATACCCGAATGTTGCACAAGTGTCTCATTCGATATTACAGTTGCTCTATACTGAAGCTTTTTCTTACCTGTGGAGATGTCCAGGTGGATCCCGAGGATTTCTGTCGTTACGAATCCCAGTCTTAACGAATCCTCCCCGGTCTTAATTAACGATTCCTGATTACTGCTAATTCTGGTACAGTCCGTTTCTGGTCTTCGATGACCCAGACCATGTTCGATCCCGGTGAATGTGAGTATCGAATGCTCGCTTGTGAGGGATGGACCGGGCAGCACTGGACCACTACTGCAGTGGAATGCTGGGCTCGCCTTATCTTCAGTGATAAGACGTGAGAAGATAACGTTCAGATAACACTGGTTGGAATTTGGCCAGGGTTGGAGAGAAGTTGCATGTGCGGGTGTGTGCTCACCTAATTGTGGTTGTAGGGGTCGATTCATAGCTCCTATCCCCGCTTCTTCACTGGTCGCTTCTAAGATCACTCTTTCCCTGCTCCATGAGCTTTATCGTACCTCATAAAGCTATGTATGGCTCCTGCCTCAACTACATCGCTCTCCAGATTGTTCCACTTCCTGACAATTCTATGACTGAAGAAGCACTTCGTAACATCCCTGTGACTCATCTGAGTTTTCAACTTCCAGTTGTGACCCCTTGTTGCTGTGTCACATCTCTGAAACATTCTGTCCCTATCTACCTTGTCAATTCCTTTCAGTATTTTATATGTTGTTATCATGTCGTCCCCCCTATTCCTCCTGTCCTCCAGTGTTGTCAGGTTGAGTTCCCTTAACCCCTACTCATAGGACAAACCCCTCAGCTGCGGGACTAGTCTTGTATTTTCTCTAATTTCTTGACGTGTCTGACCAGGTGTGGGTTCCATACTGATACTGGTGTTGCATACTCTAGTATAGGCCTGACGCACACGGTGTTCAGTGTCGTAAATGACTCCTTTCTTAAATGTCGAAACGCTGTTCTCAGGTTTGCCAGGCGCCCATATGCTGCAGCAGTTATTTGGTTGATGTGCGTCTCAGATGTGTTCGGTATGATGCTCGCTCCAATACCTTTTTCCTTGAATTTTACAACCTCTGACCTCTTAGGCTGTACTCCGCCTGCGGTCTCCTTTGTCCTTCCCCAAGCTTCATAAGCTTACACTTGATGGGAGTCATTTGTCGGTCCAGACCTGCAGCCTGTCCAGATTCCCTTGTAGGCTTACCTGATCCTCGTCCGCTTGTATTCTCCTCATTAGTTTCACATCGTCTGCAAAAAGGGACACCTCTGACTCCATCCCTTCCATCATGTCATTCATATATACAAGAAACAGCACCGGACCTAGGTCTGACCCTTGTGGAACCTCACGCAACACATGCACCCTACTTTGACACCTCGTCTCGTACCGACACACATCTTTCCTTCCCGTCAGATATTCCTTGATCCATTGCTATACTTTCCCTCCTATTCCTGCCTGCTCCTTTAGCTTTTCAACCAGTCTCTTGTGTGATACTGTGTCGAAACCCTTCTTAGTCCGAGAAGCTGCAGTTTACAAAACCTTCTCTCTCATGGTTTACTTCCGTTACCTTGTCATAGAAGTCAAATAGGTTTGTGATGCAGGATTTCCCTTCTCTGAGGCCGTGCTGGTTGTCATGTATTAATCCATTCCTTTCTAGGTGCTCCACCACTCTTCTCCTGATAATCTTCTCCATAACTTTACATACATGTCAGCGACACTGGTCTGTAATTTAGTGCAGTCTATCTTCTGTGTGTGTGTGTGTGTGTGTGTGTGTGTGTGTGTGTGTGTGTGTGTGTGTGTGTGTGTGTGTGTGTGTGTGTGTAAAATATATGCAACAAATATCACAACTGCCATTTTGTAAACAATGTTCGAGCATTTAATATAATACCAGGATATCAAGTTAATACCCTGGTATTAAAGTTAATATCCGGTATTTAATACCCCAATCTCGAAACATTGCCACAGCAAAATGTTGCATTAGTTACACTTGTGTCCATCTACCTAACATGCTTCTTCTGAATGGCTTCAGTCTTTAATGGCTGATTTATGTTATGAAATGGATGAAATTTTGGGAGAGTTTAGGCTCTATGGCTGCATTTTTTAAAACTTTCTACCCTAGTTCATGATATTGTCTGTGTTCTGTGCAGCAGCTGAAGAACACAGCTTGCGCTCAGCTTGAAACTTTCAGTACTGATGCCTCTCCTGATTATAAGTCAGTGTTTGACTTGGTTGGATTAGCTTAATTTTGCATATAATGCTTATGTACCTTTGACATCTACCTGCCATCAAGGCCATTGAGCAAATTTGTATGTTATGTATCTAAGGCCTAAATAAAAAAATACTGATCCTTAATCGCTGGTTAGTCTTACTTTGAGAAAAGTTTGAATTGATTTTGGCCGTTTAGGTTACAAATGGTCATTGCTGATAAATTATTATTATTATTATAATCAAGGGGGAAGCGCTAAACCCGTAGGATTATACAGCGCCCAGGGGGGGGGGGATGTGGAAGGCATTCAGGCTTAATTCGGGGAACTGGAGCACAGATCCAATTCCCTAAATCAAGAGCCCCTCACCAACATCAAGGAACTTCCATGAGGGTCATTGCTGATAAAGAAATTGAGGAAATTAAAATACTGGTTTTGATAATTTGCTAGTTTCTTATCAGACTGGCTTCAAACTTTTATTCTTATTACTCGATAATGCTACTTCAGAGTCTCTTCAAACTTATTATCAATGAATTTTATGGGATACTGATCTGTGCGAGATAACTAGAGAATGCCTCTTCAGTTTGGCTTTTAGCTTTTAAAGCTGATCTTTCTTGGTGGAAAATTTAAATTTTAGTAGGGCGGTGTATGTCCTAATTTGTAAATTTTTATTAAATAAATGAGATGTTAGCTTCCATGTGATAACCTGTGAATGCCTCTCACCCTTCCAGTTAAAATCGTTAGTATTAACTATTTTCAGACGTATGTGCACTCAGCACTATGCCTTTAGCGTGCATTGCGGTACATGGGACTGGGATTATACATGGTTATCTTTCTCAGTGCGTGCAGAGGACGAAACACATCTAGTTATTATCATTATTACATTGATTTGAAAATCAGTGAATCTACAAGTCATACTAAATGTCTTATACAGTGCGTGGTACATGGAAGGTAATCAAGTCTGGCTGGGCCCAGCCAAAGGTTGCTCCATGTCTTTGGGTCAAGAGTCATCAATATCAAGGCTCCCCTTTCTGCCCTACCCTCTTCACCTTCTCCCTTTTTTCCTTGAAGAGGTCTTGGGGAGTTGAATATCCCTGATCTTAGTGCCTATATGACTGTCATCCATTTAATGACTGTCATCCACTTCACTGGTCTTGAATCTAACAAATGCATCTGTGGGTGTCTTATTAACGTATTCACAGTAACCTTAATTAATGGTCAGGAATACTCACATACAGGGAGGAAAACAATCATTTATTGGTGAAATTTACAAATGTAAATACAATCATAACTGTTATATGTGTGTGTGTGTGTGTGTGTGGCGCAAGTGTATACATCGAGAAGTGTATATATCTCAGAGTAAATATGATGAGAGTTTACATTAATCTTTGCGTAGGGATTAAATATCCTTATCTGACGTAGTCGATAGGCTTCAACCCTTCTAAAGTTCATGAATTTGAGGTTTGTAAATCATCTTACTATGTGGGGTGTAAATCCCTATGTCTTAATTTTTAAGTTATGTTCAAGTTAATTTCTTCTCACGTTTATACAAATTTTCTTCTGCAAACACATCTGCTTCGCTTATTCCCATATTTATTTGAGTTACTGCTTGGGGTGAGCCTAGCTTGGTGCGCGTCATCTACCCCGGTCCTCCATCTCACGAAAAATTTCTTGATTCTGTTTTTCATCTTTATCTCGACCTTCTCATAATCATCATTAACATCTTCCGCTTCTGCTTTCTCCTCCATCTTTCTTTCTCTTCCCTCATTCCATCTAGGTTCTTTCACTCCATTCCGGTCCTGATGTTCTCTTCAAGGTTTCCATTCGGTAAATTCGTCAGATTCACTGTGAGCTGCACAATTGCCGTTGAGAGTCCGTCAACCTCTGTGTACTGATCTCCTCATAAAGGTTCTCCACGCATCCTGGTTACTAGAGATTGAAGTGAGGAGAGAAATAAATATACAGGAAAGCGGCGTAGGGAAGGAGTTTGATACTTGAATTGAAATGGGAGGAAAGTATAGATGGGGATAAATAACAAAAGAATGTGACAGCACTATGGAATCTACGTTACGATGATTAGTGCAAATACAACACACACACACAACACACCAGCGACAAGCGAAGAGGCGAGGCAAGGAGTTGTGAATCGACCTTGCAACCATAAATAGGCGAGTACAAATAGGGGGGATACACACACACACACACACACACACACACACGGGGCCCTGGAGCTGAGCCTCGACCCCTACAAATACAAATTGTTGAGTAAAATAACACTAAGAATTTGAAGCTACACTTCTTTAGTAATAATATTAATAGTAATATTATTATCGAAGCAATAAACCCGTAAGGGTCATACAGCGCCTGAGGGGAAGGGAAGGTAACCAGATTTGATTCCAGGAAAGTGGGTGACGAGGCTCAACTCCCTGAAAGAAGACGCTGTTCTTGGCGTCAAGGATCCTCCAGCAAGGCTGAGATGTAACCAGGAAGAGAGAGAAGACAGCACCTTATGAAGGAAAATTAAAGCAGGCGTGACTATTGCCACATTAATGTATAGTAGTGGTGGTGGAGGCTCGACCCTCCTTTTCGTAATGGCGGGACAGGCATTCCCTTATTATGCAAATCAGTCAATTCAAACGCTGTCCTCTCCCAGGGATCAAATACGATTACTTTTTTTTTTACCCAGGCACTGTTTGGCGGGTTTAGCGCTTCCCCATGACTGCAATGATCATAAAATCAACGAGTCCCCAAATTCAAATTAACCCTTTCTCTTACAGTATATATGAAAGTTGAGACACATGTGCAACATCTGGATATCTTTATTGTAGACGTTTCGCCATCCAGTGGCTTTATCAATACAGATTCAAGGACATAATTGGAAGACAGTAGAACTAATTATACCTTTCTTGCACAACTTGTCAGACACTGCAACATCATGGAATCTTGGTTCAGAGGACATCTACAAGACCTTCTTCACGGCTGCTACAACTAACCCATCTCTTTGGGAAGGACCTACTTCCACTGGGGAATCCCGCCTACCAGAAATACCCTGACTTTGCTAGCTGTAAATAAAGCATTACCACATGTGTGCATGTGTGTGTGTGTGTGTGTGTGTGTGTGTGTGTGTGTGTGTGTGTGTGTGTGTGTGTGTGTGTGTGTGTGTGTGTGTGTGTATGTGTGTGCACTCACCTAGTTGAGATTGCAGGGGTCGAGTCCAAGCTCCTGTACTCACCTAGTTGAGGTTGCGGGGTTCGAGTCCGAGCTCCTGGCCCCGCCTCTTCACTGATCGCTACTAGGTCACTCTCCCTGAGCCGTGAGCTTTATCATACCTCTGCTTAAAGCTATGTATGGATCCTGCCTCCACTACATCGCTTCCCAAACTATTCCACTTACTGACTACTCTGTGGCTGAAGAAATACTTCCTAACATCCCTGTGATTCATCTGTGTCTTCAGCTTCCAACTGTGTCCCCTTGTTACTGTGTCCAATCTCTGGAACATCCTGTCTTTGTCCACCTTGTCAATTCCTCTCAGTATTTTGTATGTCGTTATCATGTCCCCCCTATCTCTCCTGTCCTCCAGTGTCGTCAGGTTGATTTCCCTTAACCTCTCCTCGTAGGACATACCTCTTAGCTCTGGGACTAGTCTTGTTGCAAACCTTTGCACTTTCTCTAGTTTCCTGTGTGTGTGTGGTGTGTGTGTGTGTGTGTGTGTGTGTGTGTGTGTGTGTGTGTGTGTGTGTGTGTGCGTGTGTGTGTTTGTGTGTGTGTGCGTGTGTGCGTGTGTATGTGTATGAGTACATATGAGTGTGTGTGTGTGTGTGTGTATGAGTGTGTGTAGTGTGTATGAGTGTGTGTGTGTGTATGAGTGTGTGTGCGTGTGTGTGTATGAGTTTGTGTATGTGTGTTGTGTGTGTGTGTGTGTGTGTGTGTGTTGTGTGTGTGTTTTATGTGTTGTGTGTGTGTGTATGAATTTGTATGTGTGTGTGTGTGTGTGTGTGTGTCTCAACAATCAATATTTGCACCAATAACTCACTATAGTTGTGACCGGGTGTGGAAGTGTGAATTGCTCATTACACTATAATTTGTTCATGATTGTAGCCATGTATAAACGTAAGTAACCATTCTTACAGATTCATTACCTTTGTAATTTGTGAGTTCATTACCTTGTACCTAGTTCAGCCATCACAACTTTGGGAGCCCAGTCCCTGGACCCATTACGTACCTCTGTAATCTGTAAATACCTTTGTAACTTGTCATGATTGTGACTAGACCTACCTGGAGTTCATTACCTTTGTAAATTGTGAGTTCATTACCTTTGTAAATTGTGAATTCATTACCTCTGTAACTTGCTCAGCTATCAAAACTTTGGAGTCCAGTCCCTGGACCAATTATGTACCTCTGTAACCTTTTGACTACCGCCCACAGGATGGGTATGGGGTGCATAATAAACATATTAAACTAATTAAACTAACCAGTGACTATGCCCTCGTCTGCTGCCCGTCCTTATCCACTGACGCCTATATAACCGCCAGTCTTCTTGCCTTTGCTCCAGATTCTCCTCCACCACGATGCTGTGAACATTAACTTCAGGGCTGAGGGACTTATTACCTCATCTTTTGTATATAGTTCTACTGTCTTCCAATTATGTCCTAGAATCTGTATTGATAAAGCCACTGGATGGCGAAACGTCTACAATAAAGATACCCAGATGTTGCACATGTGTCTTAACTTTCATATTGTCGGTATTTTATACCTTCTTGTACAATATATATATATATATATATATATATATATATATATATATATATATATAAAATATATTATATATAATATATATATATTATTATATATTATATTAAATATATATATTATCAAGGGGTAGTAGCCCTACTCCTGTATAAATTACTAAATTTGAAAAAGACTTTTGTTTTTTCTTTTTGAGCACCGTCCCTTTGTGGGATACGGCGGTTGTTGAAATATATATATATATATATATATATATATATATATATATATATATATATATATATATATATATATATTATATATGGAGCCTTTTAAAATTGCTTAAGAAATACGTTGTTCTTAATAAGAAAAGACAAAAATAAAGTTTTGGGACCAGACGAGAAATCTCCCTGGGTTGTAATACATTGGTGAAAAATTTATTTGCTACAAGTGCCACGCTAGCTTTACAATTGCTGCTGCAAGTGCCACACTAGCTTTATAAGTGCTACAAGTGCGATACTAGCCACTACAAGTGTTACAAGCGTCATTATAAGTACTACTATAAGTGTCACTATCAGTACTGCCACACAAGCTATAAGTACCACTACAAGTGCAACACAATACCGACCATGATGAAGGATTGTCTGAGCAGCAGGGCAGCGGAGGGACGCTGGTCAGGGTCCTGCTGTAGCAGGCACACCACCATACTCTTGTACTCCACGCTGAACCCTCCAGACACACTAACCTGGAGCACCAGGACGAAGGTGAGGGAAACAGAGATTAGGAAGACAGGGAGAGAGGGATTACGAAGACAAGGAGATGTTATGATAATGTCCAGGGTTTATTACCTGGACCTCAGCAATGAGAGTCGCTACTCTCACCGCTGGGCAAAGGCGACCAGATGGATTAGGAAGACAGGGAGAGAGGGATTAGGAAGACAGGGAGAGAGGGATTGGGATGATGAGAGGGATACAGATGAACAGAGGATAAGGAAATAGATGAGGATTAGGAGGCGAAAAGGTGGAAATGAAAAACATGTAATTAACAGTTACTTGTGCTGTCGTAAAAAATCTTTCCAAATTTAGGAAAGTTCCAACATGCGTACACACATGCGTACATGAATGCGTACACACATGCGTACATGAATGCGTACACACATACGTACATGAATGCGTATACACATGCGTACATGAATGCGTATACACATGCGTACATGAATGCGTATACACATGCGTACATGAATGCGTATACACATGCGTACATGAATGCGTATACACATGCGTACATGAATGCGTATACACATGTTTTTACATGCATGAATTAGCATTTTGAACAATGAGAGATGTTTCTTCTATAGCCTTTTTTTAATTCCTTAGACTGTCTCTTTTGGTTTTCCTCCAGGTTAATCAGCTGTGACACAAATCTACTTCTAATTAATGCTGAAAGTTTGAAACCGACCAGAAGAAGCATTCTCCAGTTATCCAACGGTTCCAAGTTATCACTAACAGTGTTTTGCATGTGTGTTTTGTTCGTCGGAAAATGGGACAACTGTCTACCAACAATCTTTCCCGTTGTTCCATCTTACTCAGGTTATTTGTGTATCTTATCCTGTTCTATGCTCTCTGGTCTTTCCATCTATAAATACCTTACCCATCTATCAAATACCTTATCCGTCTATCAAATACTTTACCCATCTAGTAAATACTTTACCCATCTAGCAAATACATTACCCATCTAGTAAATACTTTACCCATCTAGTAAATACCTTACCCATCTAGTATATACTTTACCCATCTAGTAAATACTTTACCCATCTAGTAAATACTTTACCCATCTAGTAAATACTTTACCCATCTAGTAAATACTTTACCCATCTAGTAAATACTTTACCCATCTAGTAAATACTTTACCCATCTAGTAAATACCTTACCCATCTAGTAAATACCTTACCCATCTAGTAAATACTTTACCCATCTAGTAAATACCTTACCCATCTAGTAAATGCTTTACCCATCTAGTAAATACCTTACCCATCTAGTAAATACTTTACCCATCTAGCAAATACCTTACCCATCTAGTAAATACCTTACCCATCTAGTAAATACCTTACCCATCTAGTAAATACTTTACCCATCTAGTAAATACCTTACCCATCTAGTAAATACCTTACCCATCTAGTAAATACTTTACCCATCTAGTAAATACCTTACCCATCTAGTAAATACTTTACCCATCTAGTAAATACCTTACCCATCTAGTAAATACCTTACCCATCTAGTAAATACCTTACCCATCTAGTAAATACTTTACCCATCTAGTAAATACCTTACCCATCTAGTAAATACTTTACCCATCTAGTAAATACTTTACCCATCTAGTAAATACCTTACCCATCTAGTAAATACCTTACCCATCTAGTAAATACTTTACCCATCTAGTAAATACCTTACACTAAAGTACAAGTAATAATAATTTTAAGATTTCCAGGTAATGAAGGATCAAAATTTATTTTTTTCTCCGAGAAAAAACTTATTAGGTACGTAAAATAGTTATCAATAATGATGATGATAATTTTTTAAAAGGGTGGAAGGGTAAGCCAGTGGAAGTCTCGGTGAGATGACGACCGAAAGCTCTAGCTGTGGGTCAGGAAACACTTGTTTCCTGACAAACTTTATCTTACCTAAGTTCACTAGGCAACACCAGTCCAGTGGTGTCTCCTAAGAAGTGTTACTCGTGGTTACTGGATCCTGGTACATGTGTATCCACACTTTGTAAATAAGTCATATGTGCAGCACTACAACATTTAAAGAAATGTTTCTCTCCTGACAGCTCTGTCAACTCAAATGTTCTAGTGGACTCAAAAGTACTGACAAAAAATACACAAAATGCAATATGCTTATTGGTAACGTTTCAGTTTTGGGATCTTGATCATTCCAAATGTTACATTTGGAGTAACGAAGGTCCCGGTGTCTCATAAAGACCTGAATCAGAGATTCAGGTCTTTATGATGGTGAGCAAGTATGTGGTTTTAACACTCGTGTAGTAGTAGGTTTTAAATCCCAATGAAAAACCATACGAGATCAACTCCAAATTTCGGGTGTCATTACCTTTACAAAGTACTGTTATCTAATTGAGGAAAATCCTTCATATTTTTTTTAATAAAATTTTACTAACTTCAGTTACAACATGCTTATTATTGGGATGAGAATCTCACTATATCATAAAAATAAACAAACTGTCTAATAAGTCCTGGCATCAACTAGCAAATAGCTACGTTGTCCCAAAAACAAGGGAATATAAAACACAATGGTGGTGTTTACCTCGGTGTATGGGAAGCCTCTCTCCAGTGTAGCTAACTCGTAGAAGCAGCAACCTAATGCCCACATGTCAGCCTTGGCGTTGTAAGCCTCTCCCCGGATCACCTCAGGACTCTGACCATACACACAAACTCCTCAGTAAAATATTTCTTTCATATGTACATCAAAATAATAACACGTATTTTGAGAGGTGTATGATTCAGTGTATATACACAGAGAGCATGTTAATTCCAATTATAGGGATACCAGTAAACTTAATTAACTGCTGGTGAACAGTCTTCATGCAATCTTAAAATGGTGGTCATTTGAATAGTCGATGTTTGGCTTTAGACTCAATTAATCGACCAACTAACATCAGAACCAGATAAAATATTTAATTTGGTTTTGAAATTTTTTAATTTATGTAGTCTTTGAAGTGTTCTTTCTATACAAAGGTACTTTCTATACAAAGTCACTTGTTTGCACAGAACTGCTTATTGCCTCAAATGATGTAGTGGAAGTTTTAGCAGTAAAGGTCGAGAACCAAAACCTAGTCATTGTGGTAGTCTACAAGCCTCCGGATGCAACATCCCAGCAATTCCAGGAACAGCTGTCAAAAATTGACCACTGTCTGGAAAATCTTCCAGCTCCTGCACCCAACATCTTGCTCCTGGGGGATTTCAACTTAAGGCACCTAAAATGGAGGAATATAGCAAATAATATTGTTGCGGTAATAACACCAGGAGGCAGCTCTGATGAAAACTCACACTCACACGAGCTTTTAAATCTCTGCACAAAATTCAATTTAAACCAGCAAATAATAGAGCCTACTAGACTGGAGAATACACTAGACCTCATCTTCACTAACAATGATGATCTGATAAGAAATGTCACCATATCAAAAACAATATACTCAGATCACAACATAATTGAGGTTCAGACATGTATGCGTGGAGCCCCAGACCGACATAATGAGATTAGTCACGAGGGAGCATTCACCAAATTCAACTTCAATAACAAAAACATAAAGTGGGACCAAGTAAACCAAGTCCTAACCGATATAAGCTGGGAAGATATACTAAGCAACACAGACCCCAACTTATGCCTAGAACAGATTAACTCGGTGGCACTCGATGTATGCACAAGGCTTATTCCTCTAAGAAAAAGGAGGAGTAGATGTAAAATAGAAAGAGACAGGCGCTCCCTTTACAGGCGACGGAAAAGAATAACAGAGCGGCTAAAAGAGGTCAATATATCTGAAATGCGTAGGGAGACACTGGTCAGAGAAATAGCAAGCATCGAACTTAAGCTAAAAGAATCCTTTAGGAGTCAGGAATCGCGGGAAGAACTAAAAGCCATAAATGAAATCGAAAGAAACCCAAAGTATTTCTTCTCCTATGCCAAATCAAAATCGAGAACAACGTCCAGTATTGGGCCCCTACTTAAACAAGATGGGTCCTACACAGATGACAACAAGGAAATGAGTGAGCTACTCAAGTCCCAATATGACTCAGTTTTTAGCAAGCCGCTAACCAGACTGAGAGTCGAAGATCAAAATGAATTTTTTATGAGAGAACCACAAAATTTGATTAACACAAGCCTATCCGATGTTATCCTGACGCCAAATGACTTCGAACAGGCGATAAATGACATGCCCATGCACTCTGCCCCAGGGCCAGACTCATGGAACTCTGTGTTCATCAAGAACTGCAAGAAGCCCCTATCACGAGCCTTTTCCATCCTATGGAGAGGGAGCATGGACACGGGGTCGTCCCACAGTTACTAAAAACAACAGACATAGCCCCACTCCACAAAGGGGGGAGTAAAGCAACAGCAAAGAACTACAGACCAATAGCACTAACATCCCATATCATAAAAATCTTTGAAAGAGTCCTAAGAAGCAAGATCACCGCCCATCTAGAAACCCACCAGTTACACAACCCAGGGCAACATGGGTTTAGAACAGGTCGCTCCTGTCTGTCTCAACTATTGGATCACTACGACAAGGTCCTAAATGCACTAGAAGACAAAAAGAATGCAGATGTAATATATACAGACTTTGCAAAAGCCTTCGACAGTGTGACCATGGCGTAATAGCGCACAAAATGCGTGCTAAAGGAATAACAGGAAAAGTCGGTCGATGGATCTATAATTTCCTCACTAACAGAACACAGAGAGTAGTCGTCAACAGAGTAAAGTCCGAGACAGCTACGGTGAAAAGCTCTGTTCCACAAGGCACAGTACTCGCTCCCATCTTGTTCCTCATCCTCATATCCGACATAGACAAGGATGTCAGCCACAGCACCGTGTCTTCCTTTGCAGATGACACCCGAATCTGCATGACAGTGTCTTCCATTGCAGACACTGCAAGGCTCCAGGCGGACATCAACCAAATCTTTCAGTGGGCTGCGGAAAACAATATGAAGTTCAACGATGAAAATTTCAATTACTCAGATATGGTAAACATGAGGAAATTAAATCTTCATCAGAGTACAAAACAAATTCTGGCCACAAAATAGAGCGAAACACCAACGTCAAAGACCTGGGAGTGATCATGTCGGAGGATCTCACCTTCAAGGACCATAACATTGTATCAATAGCATCTGCTAGAAAAAATGACAGGATGGATAATGAGAACCTTCAAAACTAGGGAGGCCAAGCCCATGATGACACACTCTTCAGGTCACTTGTTCTATCTAGGCTGGATATTGCTGCACACTAACAGCACCTTTCAAGGCAGGTGAAATTGCCGACCTAGAAAATGTACAGAGAACTTTCACGGCGCGCATAACGGAGATAAAACACCTCAATTACTGGGAGCGCTTGAGGTTCCTAAACCTGTATTCCCTGGAACGCAGGCGGGAGAGATGCATGATTATATACACCTGGAAAATCCTAGAGGGACTAGTACCGAACTTGCACACGAAAGTCACTCACTACGAAAGCAAAAGACTTGGCAGACGATGCACCATCCCCCCAATGAAAAGCAGGGGTGTCACTAGCACGTTAAGAGACCATACAATAAGTGTCAGGGGCCCGAGACTGTTCAACTGCCTCCCAGCACACATAAGGGGGATTACCAACAGACCCCTGGCAGTCTTCAAGCTGGCACTGGACAAGCACCTAAAGTCAGTTCCTGATCAGCCGGGCTGTGGCTCGTACGTTGGTTTGCGTGCAGCCAGCAGCAACAGCCTGGTTGATCAGGCTCTGATCCACCAGGAGGCCTGGTCACAGACCGGGCCGCGGGGGCGTTGACCCCCGGAACTCTCTCCAGGTAAACTCCAGGTACAGCGCTGTGACTGATACATGAACCACGGTTCAAATATCCGTTCCTTCTGTTTATTCATTGACTCGTTCATTACGTCTTATGTTTTATTCTCCCCGCCCAAAAAAAAAAAATAGGTTATCGACAAGTGTCTTTAACAATTTAATTGTACTTGATCCACAGAGCCGTGAGTCTGAATGTTTTCAGATATTTGGGAGTTGACTTGTCAGCATATGGTTTATGAAGGTTAACCATAGAATTGATGAAGGAAAAAAGGTGAGTGGAGATAAGAAACATTATCCATGGAGGCAAAGAAAGGAATGTACGAGAGTGTAGTAGTACCAACACTCTTATATGGGAGTAAAGCATGGTTGTAAATGCTGCAGCGAGGAGGCAGTGGAGATGTCCTGTATAAGGGCAATGTGTGGTATAAATATTATGCAGAAAATTCGGAGTGTGGAAATTAGGAGATGTGGAGTTACTAAAAGTATTAGTCAGAGGGCTGAAGAGGGGTTGTTGAGGTGGTTTGATCATTTAGAGAGAATGGATCAAAGTAGAATGACATGGAGAGCGTATAAATCTTTTGGGGAAAGAATGCGGGGTAGGGGTCGTCCCCGAAAAGGTCGGAGGGAGGGGGTAAAGGTGGTTTTCTGGGCGAGGAGCTTGAACTTCCAGCAAGCGTGCATGAGCGTGTTAGGTGTGAATGGAGACGAATGGTTTTTAGGACCTGACGAGCTGTTGGAGTGTGAGCAGGGTAATATTTAATGAAAGGAGTCAGGGAAACCGTTAGCTGGACTTGAGTCCTGGAAATGGGAAGTCCAATGCCTGCAGTTTAAAGGAGGAGTTTAGGATACTGGCAGCTTGGAGGGACGTCTAACATGTCGTATCTGAGTGCCCCTGCAAAGACAGTGATTATGTATGAGTGATGGCGAAAGTGTTGAATGATGTTTTTTCTTTCTTTTTGTGTCACCTTTCCTCGGTGGGAAACGGCCGACGTGTTTTATATATATATATATATATATATATATAATATATATATATATATATATATATATATTGGGGGAGTGAACCGACCATATATGCTGGAGAGCCCAGTGAGGTTAGAGCGTGTTGAGCTTCACCCATGACTCGGGCCAGTCCAAAGTCCCCCAACTTGATTGTCCCTCCCTCCGTCAGGAAGATATTGTGAGGCTTCAGGTCCCTGTGCAGGATGTTGCGGCCGTGGATGTACTGCAGTATTAAAAAGAGATCTTTAAAGATAAAGTCGCACTTCAAAGGTGCCGATAACCTACAAAAAATGAGTTACAGAAAGCCTCTTCAAATTTCAAGGAGTAGCTTACCTTGAGAGCCAAACAAAGGCTGAGGGCCCAGCAGTGGATAAGTCTCTCCTCGAAGGGGACATCAGTCTCCTTCTGCTCCCTGATGCGTGTGGCCAGGTCGCCCCCGCTGCAGTACTCCATGTGGATGTGAAGGTGTTTACCCTCGAACCCGCCTCCCTGTCCCAGAATGTAAACTGTTACAGTAAATGAAGACTCAAGATGAGTCTGCACGAACACAGTTCTGCTCCAACAGCTACAAATAGGTAATCGTAAATAAAGTAATCTCTCTCGCTCTCTCTCTCTCTCTCTCTCTCTCTCTCTCTCTCTCTCTCTCTCTCTCTCTCTCTCTCTCTCTCTCAGGCGCTGTATGACTCCTGAGTTTAGCGCTTTCCCCCGTGATGATTCTCTCTCTCTCACTAGCACGAATGCATTAAAATCTGAAAATAAAAGATAATGCAGTGTACACTATATGGTTTTTGATATACATATTAAGACCTTGTAACAGTAAAAAACAAAACTATTTCATGATTAACATCGTTTATAAAATTTTATAACACACACACACACACATATACAGAGAGAGAAAAAAAAACATCTGAATTGGCCATCATATTCCAAAGACTCCTGTCAGGTGATTTTCCTTGATGACTAACACTAACAACCTGAATGAGCTGACCCTCTCTCTGCCTGCAATACTGACAACAGCCAGGACGAGCTGACCCTCTCTCTGCCTGCAATACTGACAACAGCCAGGACGAGCTGACCCTCTCTCTGCCTACTATACTGACAACAGCCAGGACGAGCTGACCCTCTCTCTACCTGCAATACTGACAACAGCCAGGACGAGCTGACCCTCTCTCTGCCTGCTATACTAACAACAGCCAGGACGAGCTGACCCTCTCTCTGCCTACTATACTGACAACAGCCAGGACGAGCTGACCCTCTCTCTGCCTGCTATACTAACAACAGCCAGGACGAGCTGACCCTCTCTCTGCCTGCTATACTGACAACAGCCAGGACGAGCTGACCCTCTCTGCCTGCAATACTGACAACTGCCAGGACGAGCTGACCCTGCCTCTGCCTGCTATACTGACAACAGCCAGGACAAGCTGACCCTCTCTGCCTGCAATACTGACAACAGCCAGGACGAGCTGACCCTGTCTCTGCCTGCTATACTGACAACAGCCAGGACGAGCTGACCCTCTCACTGCCTGCTATACTGACAACAGCCAGGACGAGCTGACCCTGTCTCTGCCTGCTATACTGACAACAGCCAGGACGAGCTGACCCTCTCTCTACCTGCAATACTGACAACAGCCAGGACGAGCTGACCCTCTCTGCCTGCAATACTGACAACAGCCAGGACGAGCTGACCCTGTCTCTGCCTGCTATACTGACAACAGCCAGGACGAGCTGACCCTGTCTCTGCCTGCTATACTGACAACAGCCAGGACGAGCTGACCCTGTCTATGCCTGCTATACTGACAACAGCCAGGCCGAGCTGACCCTCTCTCTGCCTACTATACTGACAACAGCCAGGACGAGCTGACCCTCTCTGCCTGCAATACTGACAACAGCCAGGACGAGCTGACCCTGTCTCTGCCTGCTATACTGACAACAGCCAGGACGAGCTGACCCTCTCACTGCCTGCTATACTGACAACAGCCAGGACGAGCTGACCCTGTCTCTGCCTGCTATACTGACAACAGCCAGGACGAGCTGACCCTCTCTCTACCTGCAATACTGACAACAGCCAGGACGAGCTGACCCTCTCTCTGCCTGCAATACTGACAACAGCCAGGACGAGCTGACCCTGTCTCTGCCTGCTATACTGACAACAGCCAGGACGAGCTGACCCTGTCTCTGCCTGCTATACTGACAACAGCCAGGACGAGCTGACCCTGTCTATGCCTGCTATACTGACAACAGCCAGGCCGAGCTGACCCTGTCTCTGCCTACTATACTGACAACAGCCAGGACGAGCTGACCCTCTCTGCCTGCAATACTGACAACAGCCAGGACGAGCTGACCCTCTCTCTGCCTGCCATACTGACAATAGCCAGGACGAGCTGACCCTCTCTCTGCCTGCAATACTGACAACAGCCAGGACGAGCTGACCCTCTCTCTGCCTGCCATACTGACAACAGCCAGGCCGAGCTGACCCTCTCTCTGCCTGCCATACTGACAATAGCCAGGACGAGCTGACCCTCTCTCTGCCTGCAATACTGACAGCCAGGACGAGCTGACCCTGTCTCTGCCTGTTATACTGACAACAGCCAGGCCGAGCTGACCCTCTCTCTGCCTGCTATACTGACAACAGCCAGGCCGAGCTGACCCTCTCTCTGCCTGCTATACTGACAACAGCCAGGTGGAGCTGACCCTCTCTCTGCCTGCTATACTGACAACAGCCAGGTGGAGCTGACCCTCTCTCTGCCTGCTATACTGACAACAGCCAGGACGAGCTGACCCTGTCTATGCCTGCTATACTGACAACAGCCAGGCCGAGCTGACCCTCTCTCTGCCTACTATACTGACAACAGCCAGGACGAGCTGACCCTCTCTGCCTGCAATACTGACAACAGCCAGGACGAGCTGACCCTCTCTCTGCCTGCCATACTGACAATAGCCAGGACGAGCTGACCCTCTCTCTGCCTGCAATACTGACAACAGCCAGGACGAGCTGACCCTCTCTCTGCCTGCCATACTGACAACAGCCAGGCCGAGCTGACCCTCTCTCTGCCTGCCATACTGACAATAGCCAGGACGAGCTGACCCTCTCTCTGCCTGCAATACTGACAGCCAGGACGAGCTGACCCTGTCTCTGCCTGTTATACTGACAACAGCCAGGCCGAGCTGACCCTCTCTCTGCCTGCTATACTGACAACAGCCAGGCCGAGCTGACCCTCTCTCTGCCTGCTATACTGACAACAGCCAGGTGGAGCTGACCCTCTCTCTGCCTGCTATACTGACAACAGCCAGGTGGAGCTGACCCTCTCTCTGCCTGCTATACTGACAACAGCCAGGCCGAGCTGACCCTCTCTCTGCCTGCTATACTGACAACAGCCAGGCCGAGCTGACCCTCTCTCTGCCTGCTATACTGACAACAGCCAGGCCGAGCTGACCCTCTCTCTGCCTGCTATACTGACAACAGCCAGGCCGAGCTGACCCTCTCTCTGCCTGCAGTACTGACAGCCAGGACGAGCTGACCCTCTCTCTGCCTGCAATACTAACAGCCAGGACGAGCTGACCCTCTCTCTGCCTGCAGTACTGACAGCCAGGACGAGCTGACCCTCTCTCTGCCTGCAGTACTAACAGCCAGGACGAGCTGACCCTCTCTCTGCCTGCAGTACTGACAGCCAGGACGAGCTGACCCTCTCTCTGCCTGCAGTACTGACAGCCAGGACGAGCTGACCCTCTCTCTGCCTGCAGTACTGACAGCCAGGACGAGCTGACCTCCCCCACCTCTGTCTACAACACCGACAACGGCCAGGACGGGTTTATAAGCCTACCCTGTAGGCTTATAAACCCGTCGCCTACCCTGTAGGCGACGATGTAAGGGTGACGAAGTGACTTTAGTAGTTGGAACTCCCTGTGGGCGTACTCCTGGTGCTTCCGACGTAGCTGCGACAGGTCGATCTGAAGAACAAAACAACAAGCTAAAAGATAATGCCGATAATTTATTGTTGTGATTTGAGAAGTGGTAAATGCTGTAAGCACTCGAAGTCTACGATAAGATTATGACCATAACTATTATAAATATAAAATAATACATAACCTGGAAGAATCAGGTTCTAGTTGTTAGAACTCTGAAGTTAAGACAGGTAACTCTAAAAGATTTTAAGCTTTATATCAAGAAACAACGTCTCTGAATACGAGACTAACATAAAGACTTTAAATATGGAAATTATACCACAGCTTTATGTGTCGATGGTAAGATCTAACGTGGAATATAGCAATGGTAAATATACTCCAACATTTACCTCCAACAATCACCACTACAACCTCCAACACTCACTACTACCTCCACCTCCAACACTCACTACTACCTCCACCTCCAACACTCACTACTACCACCACATCCAATACTCACTACTTCCACCACCTCCAACACTCACTGCTACCACACCTCCAATACTCACTGCTACCACCACCTCCAATACTCACTGCTACCACCACCTCAAGCACTCACTACTACCATGACCTCCAATACTCATTACTACCACCAACCTCCAACACTCACTACCACCACTTCCAACACTCACTACCGCCACCTCTAACATTCACCACTACCACCTCTAACACCAATACTACCACCTCCAACATTCACCACTACCACCTCCAACACTCACCACTGCCACCTCCAACACTCACTACCACCACCTCTAACATTCACCACTACCACCTCCAACACTACTACCACCACCTCTAACACTCAATACTACCACCTCCAACACTCACCACTACCACCTCCAACACTCACCACTGCCACCTCCAACACTCACCACTGCCACCTCCAACACTCACCCTCTTCACCACCATGAAGCCTTCACTGGTCCTCACTAAGATCACCTCACCAAAGCTGCCCTCACCGAGCTTCCGTTGTTCCTGGAAGTTACTTAAATGCATCTGAAAAACAGCACAACACTGTTTTATATACTGCAGCTTAAACAACAGTTTCTAATATAACTTAGAGAGCTACAATAAATACAAAATATGCAACAGGTTCTCAAGTAATGCAGCCAGCTACAGCAAGTACAACACGACATACAACCAGCTACAGCAAGTACAACACGACATACAACCAGCTACAGGAAGTACAACACGACATACAACCAGCTACAGCAAGTACAACACGACATACAACCAGCTACATCAAGTACAACACGACATACAACCAGCTACATCAAGTACAACACGACATACAACCAGCTACATCAAGTACAACACGACATACAACCAGCTACATCAAGTACAACACGAATACAACCAGCTACATCAAGTACAACACGACATACAACCAGCTACATCAAGTACAACACGACATACAACCAGCTACATCAAGTACAAACACGACATACAACCAGCTACATCAAGTACAACACGACATACAACCAGCTACATCAAGTACAACACGACATACAACCAGCTACATCAAGTACAACACGACATACAACCAGCTACAGCAAGTACAACACGACATACAGCCAGCTACAGCAAGTACAACACGACATACAACCAGCTACATCAAGTACAACACGACATACAACAGCTACATCAAGTACAACACGACATACAACCAGCTACAGCAAGTACAACACGACATACAGCCAGCTACAGCAAGTACAACACGACATACAACCAGCTACAGCAAGTACAACACGACATACAACCAGCTACAGCAAGTACAACACGACATACAACCAGCTACAGCAAGTACAACACGACATACAACCAGCTACAGCAAGTACAACACGACATACAACCAGCTACAGCAAGTACAACACGACATACAACCAGCTACATCAAGTACAACACGACATACAACCAGCTACAGCAAGTACAACACGACATACAGCCAGCTACAGCAAGTACAACACGACATACAACCAGCTACAGCAAGTACAACACGACATACACCAGCTACAGCAAGTACAACACGACATACAACCAGCTACAGCAAGTACAACACGACATACAACCAGCTACAGCAAGTACAACACGACATACAACCAGCTACAGCAAGTACAACACGACATACAACCAGCTACAGCAAGTACAACACGACATACAACCAGCTACAGCAAGTACAACACGACATACAACAGCTACAGCAAGTACAACACGACATACAGCCAGCTACAGCAAGTACAACACGACATACAACCAGCTACAGCAAGTACAACACGACATACAACCAGCTACAGCAAGTACAACACGACATACAACCAGCTACAGCAAGTACAACACGACATACAACCAGCTACAGCAAGTACAACACGACATACAACCAGCTACAGCAAGTACAACACGACATACAACCAGCTACAGCAAGTACAACACGACATACAACCAGCTACAGCAAGTACAACACGACATACAACCAGCTACAGCAAGTACAACACGACATACAACCAGCTACAGCTAGTAAAACACGACATACAACCAGCTACAGCAAGTACAACACGACATACAGCCAGCTACAGCAAGTACAACACGACATACAACCAGCTACAGCAAGTACAACACGACATACAACCAGCTACAGCAAGTACAACACGACATACAACCAGCTACAGCAAGTACAACACGACATACAACCAGCTACAGCAAGTACAACACGACATACAACCAGCTACAGCAAGTTAAACACGACATACAACCAGCTACAGCAAGTACAACACGACATACAGCCAGCTACAGCAAGTACAACACGACATACAACCAGCTACAGCAAGTACAACACGACATACAGCCAGCTACAGCAAGTACAACACGACATACAACCAGCTACAGCAAGTACAACACGACATACAACCAGCTACAGCAAGTACAACACGACATACACCCAGCTATAGCAAGTACAACACGACATACAACCAGCTACAGCAAGTACAACACGACATACAGATAGCTACAGTAAGTGCAACACAACATACAACCAGCTACAGCAAGTACAACACGACATACAGCCAGCTACAGCAAGTACAACACGACATACAGCCAGGTACAGCAAGTACAACACGACATACAAACCAGCTACATCAAGTAAAAACACGACATACAACCAGCTTCAGCAAGTACAACACGACATACAGCCAGCTACAGCAAGTACAACACGACATACAGCCAGCTACAGCAAGTACAACACGACATACAACCAGCTACAAGAAGTACAACACGACATACAACCAGCTACAGCAAGTACAACACGACATACAACCAGCTACAGCAAGTACAACACGACATACAACTAGCTACATCAAGTACAACACGACATACAACCAGCTACAGCAAGTACAACACGACATACAGCCAGCTACAGCAAGTACAACACGACATACACCCAGCTACAGCAAGTACAACACGACATACAACCAGCTACAGCAAGTACAACACTACATACAACCAGCTACAGCAAGTACAAACACGACATGCAACCAGCTACAGCAAGTACAACACGACATACAGCCAGCTACAGCAAGTACAACACGACATACAACCAGCTACAGCAAGTACAACACGACATACAACCAGCTACAAGAAGTACAACACGACATACAACCAGCTACAGCAAGTACAACACGACATACAACCAGCTACAGCAAGTACAACACGACATACAACCAGCTACATCAAGTACAACACGACATACAACCAGCTACAGCAAGTACAACACGACATACAGCCAGCTACAGCAAGTACAAGACGACATACAGCCAGCTACAACAAGTACTAACACGACATACAACCAGCTACAGCAAGTACAACACGACATACAACCAGCTACAGCAAGTACAACACGACATGCAACCAGCTACAGCAAGTACAACACGACATACAGCCAGCTACAGCAAGTACAACACGACATACAACCAGCTACAGAAAGTACAACACGACATACAACCAGCTGCAGCAAGTACAACATGACATACAGCCAGCTACAGCAAGTACAACACGACATACAACCAGCTACAGCAAGTACAACACGACATACAACCAGCTACAGCAAGTACAACACGACATACAGCAGCTACAGCAAGTACAACACGACATACAACCAGCTACAGCAAGTACAACACGACATACAACCAGCTACAGCAAGTACACACGACATACAGCCAGCTACAGCAAGTGCAACACGACATACAACCAGCTACAGCAAGTACAACACGACATACAGCCAGCTACAGCAAGTACAACACGACATACAGCCAGCTACAGCAAGTACAACACGACATACAGCCAGCTATAGCAAGTACAACACGACATACAACCAGCTACAGCAAGTACAACACGACGTACAGCCAGCTACAGCAAGTACAACACGACATACAGCCAGCTACAGCAAGTACAACACGACATACAGCCAGCTATAGCAAGTACAACACGACATACAACCAGCTACAGCAAGTACAACACGACATACAGCCAGCTACAGCAAGTACAACACGACATACAGCCAGCTACAGCAAGTACAACACGAGATACAGCCAGCTATAGCAAGTACAACACGACATACAACCAGCTACAGCAAGTACAACCGACATACAGCCAGCTACAGCAAGTACAACACGACATACAGCCAGCTACAGCAAGTACAACACGAGATACAGCCAGCTATAGCAAGTACAACACGACATACAACCAGCTACAGCAAGTACAACACGACATACAGCCAGCTACAGCAAGTACAACACGACATACAACCAGCTACAGCAAGTACAACACGACATACAACCAGCTACAGCAAGTACAACACGACATACAACCAGCTACAGCAAGTACAACACGACATACAACCAGCTACAGCAAGTACAACACGACATACAACCAGCTACAGCAAGTAAAACACGACATACAACCAGCTACAGCAAGTACAACACGACATACAGCCAGCTACAGCAAGTACAACACGACATACAACCAGCTACAGCAAGTACAACACGACATACAGCCAGCTACAGCAAGTACAACACGACATACAACCAGCTACAGCAAGTACAACACGACATACAACCAGGTACAGCAAGTACAACACGACATACAGCCAGCTATAGCAAGTACAACACGACATACAACCAGCTACAGCAAGTACAACACGACATACAGATAGCTACAGTAAGTGCAACACAACATACAACCAGCTACAGCAAGTACAACACGACATACAGCCAGCTACAGCAAGTACAACACGACATACAGCCAGGTACAGCAAGTACAACACGACATACAACCAGCTACATCAAGTACAACACGACATACAACCAGCTTCAGCAAGTACAACACGACATACAGCCAGCTACAGCAAGTACAACACGACATACAGCCAGCTACAGCAAGTACAACACGACATACAACCAGCTACAAGAAGTACAACACGACATACAACCAGCTACAGCAAGTACAACACGACATACAACCAGCTACAGCAAGTACAACACGACATACAACCAGCTACATCAAGTACAACACGACATACAACCAGCTACAGCAAGTACAACACGACATACAGCCAGCTACAGCAAGTACAACACGACATACACCCAGCTACAGCAAGTACAACACGACATACAACCAGCTACAGCAAGTACAACACGACATACAACCAGCTACAGCAAGTACAACACGACATGCAACCAGCTACAGCAAGTACAACACGACATACAGCCAGCTACAGCAAGTACAACACGACATACAACCAGCTACAGCAAGTACAACACGACATACAACCAGCTACAAGAAGTACAACACGACATACAACCAGCTACAGCAAGTACAACACGACATACAACCAGCTACAGCAAGTACAACACGACATACAACCAGCTACATCAAGTACAACACGACATACAACCAGCTACAGCAAGTACAACACGACATACAGCCAGCTACAGCAAGTACAACACGACATACAGCCAGCTACAGCAAGTACAACACGACATACAACCAGCTACAGCAAGTACAACACGACATACAACCAGCTACAGCAAGTACAACACGACATGCAACCAGCTACAGCAAGTACAACACGACATACAGCCAGCTACAGCAAGTACAACACGACATACAACCAGCTACAGAAAGTACAACACGACATACAACCAGCTGCAGCAAGTACAACATGACATACAGCCAGCTACAGCAAGTACAACACGACATACAACCAGCTACAGCAAGTACAACACGACATACAACCAGCTACAGCAAGTACAACACGACATACAGCCAGCTACAGCAAGTACAACACGACATACAACCAGCTACAGCAAGTACAACACGACATACAACCAGCTACAGCAAGTACAACACGACATACAGCCAGCTACAGCAAGTGCAACACGACATACAACCAGCTACAGCAAGTACAACACGACATACAGCCAGCTACAGCAAGTACAACACGACATACAGCCAGCTACAGCAAGTACAACACGACATACAGCCAGCTATAGCAAGTACAACACGACATACAACCAGCTACAGCAAGTACAACACGACATACAGCCAGCTACAGCAAGTACAACACGACATACAGCCAGCTACAGCAAGTACAACACGACATACAGCCAGCTATAGCAAGTACAACACGACATACAACCAGCTACAGCAAGTACAACACGACATACAGCCAGCTACAGCAAGTACAACACGACATACAGCCAGCTACAGCAAGTACAACACGACATACAGCCAGCTATAGCAAGTACAACACGACATACAACCAGCTACAGCAAGTACAACACGACATACAGCCAGCTACAGCAAGTACAACACGACATACAGCCAGCTACAGCAAGTACAACACGACATACAGCCAGCTATAGCAAGTACAACACGACATACAACCAGCTACAGCAAGTACAACACGACATACAGCCAGCTACAGCAAGTACAACACGACATACAGCCAGCTACAGCAAGTACAACACGACATACAGCCAGCTACAGCAAGTACAACACGACATACAGCCAGCTACAGCAAGTACAACACGACATACAGCCAGGTACAGCAAGTACAACACGACATACAGCCAGCTACAGCAAGTACAACACGACATACAGCCAGCTACAGCAAGTACAACACGACATACAACCAGCTACAGCAAGTACAACACGACATACAGCCAGCTACAGCAAGTACAACACGACATACAGCCAGCTACAGCAAGTACAACACGACATACAGCCAGCTACAGCAAGTACAACACGACATACAGCCAGCTACAGCAAGTACAACACGACATACAGCCAGGTACAGCAAGTACAACACGACATACAGCCAGCTACAGCAAGTACAACACGACATACAGCCAGCTATAGCAAGTACAACACGACATACAACCAGCTACAGCAAGTACAACACGACATACAGCCAGCTACAGCAAGTACAACACGACATACAGCCAGCTACAGCAAGTACAACACGACATACAGCCAGCTACAGCAAGTACAACACGACATACAGCCAGCTACAGCAAGTACAACACGACATACAGCCAGGTACAGCAAGTACAGCTACAATAAGGGACAACAATAGGTACATCAGCTTCTGAAACTTTACTGTAAATAAAGATACTCAAAAGAGATTTAACTAGACATCAACCTTTAAAAATTTTTAAGTTAACAAAACATCAAGAGAAAATATAAAAGTATATAGTACAACAGCTTCTAACCGTTGTAAAATTATAAAAACAGCAACAATAAGGACAGCTAGAATTTACATTATTATTATTATTAAAGATTCGCCGGTAATTTTCCCGGCCCGGGCCTTCTCCAAGTGGTGGCCCGGCCTTGGCTCCCTCTTTAGGGAGTGTCTGAGACCTAAGTCTCCCATGGGTGGAGATACAAGTACCTCCTCATCTTTGGGACCAACTGTCCCCAGGCCTAGCCACAAGCTAGGCCTCTCTGGTCTGCCATCCCCACCCCAAGGGGACTAATGGGAATGACAGTCTTATGAGCTAAAGGCTCGGGCTCGGGCACCTACCCTACCCTAGAAGGGTTAGGCATGGTATCGATGTAGAATTTACAATAGTTTCCCCAAATTTCTAAATGAACAAAAACAAAAAAAATGCGAGCAGCATTACATACATCTAAATTTTCTTACCAAAAAAAGCTTTTTTTTTTTTTAAGCAGCAAAAACTGCTTTTAAATTAAAAATAAAAAATGCACAGAAGCGTCAAATTAGCTTCACTTGTGATTATTTAATATTACAAATATTTCTTAAATTACAGAAACATGAAATAAAAAAGCTTACGAAACTTTCATATATTTTGATAATAAGCATCGATACCATGCCCAGCCCTTCTAGGGTAGGGTAGGTGCCCGAGCCCGAGCTTTCAGCTCACAAGACTGTCATTCCCATTTGCCCCCTTGGGGCGGGGAAGGCAGACCAGAGAGGCCTAGCTTGTGGCTAGGCCTGGGGACAGTTGGTCCCAAAGATGAGGAGGTACTTGTACCTCCTCCCATGGGAGACTTAGGTCTCAGACACTCCCTAAAGAGGGAGCCAAGGCCGGGCCACCACTTGGTAAAGGCCCGGGCCGGGAAAATACCGGCGAATCTTTAATAATAATAATAAATAATTGATAATAAGCTTTATGTATAATTTTATTTGTAACCCTAATTTTTAAAGGGGGTGGACCGGGTAAGCCAGCGGAAGGCCTCGGTCAGATGACGAAAAGCTCCAGCTGTGGGTCATCCTGATGAATCTTACCTACTATAATAAGCTAAAAATCGCGATTAGGCTATAAATTGATGCTATACCATATTACGTTTTGTCAGAGTAGTTGATTAATAGGGTTTAAAGCCTATCAACTACACTATGGTCATTAAGGCTGCATGTAACCTTTTTATCATCAGACAGAATTACTATAATTCCTAAAATAGGAATTATATCAGACTGTCAGCATATACACATAGAGATACATACGTCTCGGTCTATCTATTAGCTTTACAGATATCAATACTATCTTTATCGGTAACATTTACTTTAGTGCTATCATCAATATTAGTTCAACTATCACCACAATAGTTTTCCTGTCTGACAATACTCACCAATACTGGGAATCAAATCCATGCCGAACTCTCTTCCAAAAACCAAACTACACTAACCTCGTCCTCTTTATCTTGCAGGTACTTGACGATGGCCCTGTGGCCCGCCTCCTTGGCTATCAGCTTGGGGGTGCGGCCATGTTTATCCTTGATATTAACGTAAGCTCCCTTTTCGACGAACCAGCGGACGGCTTCAAGGTTGCCATGATCGGCAGCCAGATCGAGAGGCGTGGCGCCGTCCTGACTCCGCACCTTGATACTGAATCCTTTTTCCCACATGACAGTAAGTACAGGTATGTGGCCTCCCACTGCTGCCCAGTGCACTGCTAGTAACCCTGGTGTGAGACACATCACAATTAGAATAATGGAAATAAATAGTGGACTACATTTCGAACAGTTCAGGAGTATCATCTTGGGCTGCTGCGTCTTGATAAGTGTCCACGACTGATAAAAATGTCGTTTTAAACGAACTATTATTCGATGAGATTGTAACTTAGAAAGTGATTAATATTTCGGGAATGATTGTCTAACTATTTATCCCAGCCCATGCACCCATGATGAAATTTCTGAAAGCATACAAAAATATTGAATTAACATCCAAAATATATTAGCTAGGGACAACCCGTCTATCCCTTCTCCCACTACTACTGATACGGAAGACCGCCCAGTAAGGCTCCATACTTATGGCCTGCGACCCAGGACAACAGTACATTTCTGTGACACTGACGTACCTACTGACTTGTCCGACTCCTACGCTAGTTATGCTAATTGTTTGCTTGCAGAAATGGGTATAAATGCACACACATTGTATAGCTAGTCGATAATGGAGTCAGGGTGGATAACATCATGTAATTATGTAAATACTTTTAGAAGGGTACCCAGAGTGTAATGAATTCCATGGATATAGTATTATTGTAGGTATGTGCACCCAGTGTTTTTATATATATATATAATATATATAAAAGAGACTGTATCACGGTCAGGGCAGTGCTGCCCTCTGAGTCACATGTCACACCTTAGGAAATGCTGCTGTCAGTCATTGTTTGCAGATGTGAGGGTGCAACAACGTTCGTAGACGAGTGGTCAACTGATGTTCAGCCCTGCGGACAACCTGTATATAGAAGATTTTAGTTCCAGTGCTGACGTCTCCGGACTCTCTCCTCGATGAAACAGCGCGGGCAAACCAGTTTTCTCTTCCCCTGGATGGGAGAGTTTTTTTTTTTCCTGTTGCATTTTTATGTCCATTTTTGATTTACTAGTGAGCGAAAGCCAGTCCCTCTCTGGGGTAGCTAGTGTAAGTAATTCCTTTATACCTGCGGGCCCACCAGTATTGTCGCGTCGGGACGACGCGAGGTGCGTGGCCGAGCAAATGTAGACAGCCTGTACTGTCAGAACACACAGCCTAGCCGTCTGCTCTGACTAGTTCATATTTCGCGGCATTTAGGTGCTGCCCTCTGTAGGCTCACCCCTTTCAGTGGGAGGCTGAGCCCATTCGCTCTCTCTCCTAGGCCGACCCTCTTGATAGACACAAGTGCTCCCCCTCCACGGACTGGCTTGCGGTCACTCCCTCACACTGCCCGTTGTGTACTCACTCCTATCCAATTAAAACCAAACTAGTCCACGGCCGTATCATTGCTACCTATGCTACCTTCATCGGCACTAAACCGCTGTTCAGCAGCAAGAACAGCAATAACAGGGCCATGTGTGGGCCAGCCTCTCTTTCTCTCTCTCTAGTCTGTATGTTTGTCTGTCTGTCTGTCTGTCTGTCTGTCTCTCTCTCTCTCTCTCTCTCTCTCTCTCTCTCTCTCTGCACTCACCATGAGCCGTAGCTTTACGGTCTGCTCTATGCCTCATCAGTAACCTCACAATCTTGTCATGTCCACTCCAGCAAGCCAGGTGCAGTAATGTCAGACCTGTAGGTAAAGATCGCGTGTTAGCACACACTTGACCCTTCAAGATCAGATCATCTCCTTAAACACATAAATAACTTAGTGTATAATTCTTTTTGGGGATAAAGTCAAGTACACACTAATAACTCCGCATGAGTCATGATGGGTTGTGAGGACGGGCTAGAGGATCCATTTTAGTCTGATAGCTTTACCCCTCAATAATAATAATAATAATAATAATAATAATAATAATAATAATATCTTTATTTCTACAAGTACATGTACAAGGTATACACACCATAGCTGACATCAATGACATACTACTGTATAGAAAGCCGCTTGTTAATCAGAGCATTTCGGGCAAATTAGGTCAGTTTTGTCCCAGGATGCGACCCACACCAGTCGACTAACACCCAGGTACCCATTTTACTGACTGGTGAACATGGACAACTGGTGTTTCTACTCTTGCCGGGAATCGAACCCAGACCCCTCAGCGTGTTAGGCGTGAGCTTTGCCTACCAGGCCACGAGCCTTTCATTGTGGAAGCGCTGGGAAGAGGATGGGGTGCGATGCTAGTGAAGGGCTCTTAATTCAAGAAATGAGAGGTATTTATTTCCTTGGATCAAACATAAATGTCTTCCAGTACCTAAGGGTTAGCGGTTCCAGTGAAAAATTATATAAATAATAATAATAATATTAATTCTATTATAAAAAAGACGCGCTAAACCCATTATGTTCATACAGAGCTGCTGCAATAATAATAATAATAATAATAATAATAATAATAATAATAATAATAATAATAATAATGATAATAATAATAATAATAATAATAATAATAATAATAATAATAATAGTCGAGCATCACCTCCATATACATTTATTACGGTATATTTTCCTGCACTTCCATATACTTGAGAGTCAGAAATAACACACCAAGGTGTCTCTCACTATATATTAATATTCTCTTAGTTTAATTATTATTTTAGGGATGAAAATATTGTTGACAGGTGAACAGGTGACCTGTCTTAATGACCTGCGTGTAGTGAACATCCAGTCAAGGTAAGAGAATCAGAAGCCATGGATGGTATTAACAGGCTTGAAACCTTATTAACTAAGAGAATCAGAAGCCATGGATGGTATTTAACAGGCTTGAAACCTTATCAACTAAGAGAATCAGAATCCATGGATGGTATTTAACAGGCTTGAAACCTTATCAACTAAGAGAATCAGAATCCATGGATGGTATTTAACAGGCTTGAAACCTTATCAACTAAGAGAATCAGAATCCATGGATGGTATTTAACAGGCTTGAAACCTTATCAACTAAGAGAATCAGAAGTCATGGATGGCATTTAACAGGCTTGAAACCTTATTAACTAAGAAAGAAGGGGAGAGAACATCTTATGAGAGACGCAGAACAAACGTTTTATAAGTAACGTAGAGTAAACCTTGTATAAAACAAAAGAGGTAGGAGATACTCTCTAGAACATACGTAGAACATTCTACAGCAGACGTTGAACAAACACTGGAAAACATATGTAGAACAAAAAATTACAAATTACACGAAAAACAATTGCTGTGAAAAAGACGTAGAAAAAACATGCTAAATCAGACGTAAAACAAACGTTCTGAGAAAGACGTAGAACCAATGTAAAGCCTGTAATGGCGATAAGTATAAATAACTTATGGTGGTGCATGACCCTTGTCATGCAGCAGTGGTCCAGACAGTGGTCAATTTTGAAAAGCTTGTTCCTGGAATTGTTGAGAAGTAGCATCCTATGCCAAGGCTCATAAATACCGCGTTTTCTTTTTTAAAAAAAAAAAAAAAAAAAAAAAAAAAATTCCTCCCACGTTTGGCCACGTTTTCCTCTATATCTCGGAAGTTATTGACCTATTTATTGAAACAGAACCAGTAATAATGAATGGATTGGAAGGATTTTCACAACATACATTCAACAATGAATGTTTTACAAACTGGTGAATTTTTTTTATAAATAACCCTAATTTTTGAGCATTTGTAGGAGGTAAGGGAGGTATAAGGCAGATATTTCACTGTCAGAAACTTACAAACACAATTTTTGGGGGGAGATGAGAGTAAGGTACATTACAGTATTTACCATTATAATAAAATTACTAGTGAGTGTCCAAAACACTTCTGGCAGTGCCAGTATGTGCCCGCTGGCTGCCAAATCCAATTTTCAGTAGTATACTGTTTTATTCATTTGTTGATCGATCTTAATGGAACTTCATATGACCATGTTTGATGCACTCTTATTCAGACAGTAAAAAATGAAGGAAATCGGACGATAAATAAAAAATGAAACCTCAAATTGCAACCTCGTTAAGCATCCAGCTAAGTTTTAAACCCCATTAAAAAAACAAAAGCGTCACTATATAATAATGAATCCTAAGATAAATGTTGATAACCTTTCGGGAAATCTAAAGATAACTACTATTAACATAGAAGAGAACCATGGGAGGTAATGTGGCCTGACCACTTCTGGCGAGTTTTAAAGGAATCGTTTTTCTCACATAGTTACGAATATTTTCTATCAGAGGATTAATTTATCAGAAAAAGTTTTACCAGAAGATACCCCAGTACATTCTACTAGATTACATCACTAGCTGTATGGATAAGTGTTTATTAAAGGAAAATGTAAATTATAAGTGCTACTCAATGATATTAATAAATCTGAACAGGATAAATCATAAGAAGTCCTTGTATATATGTGTATTTATCGACTACTGTGGGTCTCCAGAATATAGATGGATACCACAGATAGGATGGGGATAAGGGGATGTTGAATACCTTAGATAGGCAAGGTGTTCAACTGAGCTGAAGTCAGGTCAAGTGTGTAAACAACTGACCTTTCTCCCCCGGCTTGGAACTTAGGGTATCCGGGTCAGCACCAGCCATCAGCAGTCCTTCAGTAGCAGCATAGTTACCCGCTGACACTGCCTCAACTAGTTCCTGCAGGTGCGCAGTAACTTTTTAATTAAAACGTAGTTAGTGTATTTAAATCCTTATTTTAAAGATTAAAGTATGCATGACTGGTGAAAAATAAGTTACATGTAACTATGATGATCCTCGTCTGGTCGATAGGATTTAAACCTTATAAAAGATAGTTTAATAAGTGAAGCAAATTTTAATATATTAACTACTAAGAGAAAGAGATGCGAGTCAAAATATCGCTAACGGACCCTTTCAAGGCAGGCGAAATTGTAATCCTGGAAAATATACAGAGAACCTTTCACTGCACATATAAGTACCATAAAGCACCTAAATTACTGGGAACAGTTGAAGTCCCTTGACATGTGCTCCTTGGAACGCAGGCGAGAATGGTACATGATATGTGGACCCCCGCATAACGATCACCTCCGAATGCGACCAATTATGTAAGTGTATTTATGTAAGTGCATTTGTACGTGTATGTTTGGGGGTCTGAAATGAACTAATCTACTTCACAATATTCCTTATGGGAACAAATTCGGTCAGTACTGGCACCTGAACATACTTCTGGAGTGAAAAAATATCGTTAACCGGGGGTCCACTGTACTTGGAAAATCCTGGGACAAGTCCCAGATCTGCATACGGAAATGACTCCCTACGAAAGCAAAAGACTCGGCAGGAGAAGCAACGTCCCCCCAATGAAAAGCAGGGGCGCCATGAATACACTGAGAGACAATACAATAAGTGTTAGGGCTCAATACTGCTCAACTGCCTCCCAGCATACATAAGGGGGATTACCAATAGACCCCTGGTTGTCTTCAAGAGGGAGCTGGATAGGCACCTAAAGTCAGTACCTGACCAGCCGGGCTGTGGCTCATATGTTGGTTTACGTGTGTCCGGCAGTAACAGCTTGATTGATCAGGCCCTGATCCACCGCGAGACCTGGTCTTGGAGCAGGCCGCAGGGGCGTTGACCCTCGGAACACCGTCCAAGTATACTAATTAGCATAAACTAAGTTTCTTATCTTAAATAATAATACTAACTAAGCTTAACCTGACCTCAATCAAATGGTGGGTGATTATATGACTATGACCTACGTCAGGGGTCATCTGTCGTGTCCGGATAAATATTACGAAAGGTATCAACCGTTGCTGGATTGATATCGCAGTCAGCTCATATACTGAGTGTCCGTGGTTCGATCCCCTTCATGGGAAGAAACGGGCATGTTTCCTTACCCCTGCTGTCCTTGTTCACTTAGCAGAAAATAGGTACCTAAGTGTTAGTCGTCTGTTGTGAGTCGCATGCTGAGGGTGGTAATATACCTTAGATAAGACTAGGCGGAGGTGCTATAACAGCTCTAAGCCTGTAAAATTTATCTGTGTAAGAAAACAAAACACACTGGGTATGAAGATACAAGACAAGATTTCGCTCTGGGTAGAGCTTTATTAACTCAATGATAAAGCTCTGTCGTGAGTGTAATACTGTGCTAATAAAAAAAGTGGTTCTGTATACGGTATCTTCATACTCATACCTGTCCACTACGTGAGTATATCCGTCTTTAAACAGTGTGGTAGGTCAAAGCTAGTCAAAACTAAAACGTTAAGCATTTCTCTGAGAGAACTTTAACCTCTGGAATAATTTCCTTAACAAAGCCGTCGAAGGAAAATCAGTGATGACCCGTAAAATATAAATGACAATTTTTCCATAATTAAAAATTATAGAAGTAACTATTCAAGGTTAAAAACGTACGAAAGTTCAGATAGAAACTTCGTAATTTTTTTAAGACTTAGTATTTCCGTGGTGCCACATGTAAACGCGTAACCTAAAGAAACTAGTCAACTCAAGTTATGCAAGTTTCTTGAAGGGATCAGATAAATTGGTAATTTTTACAAAGTTACGTTGAGCTGCTGGCTGAGTTTTGGTATAAAACTAAAGATGATAAAATAATCTTTTCTTTTTTTTTTTGCATAACTTTGGTTAATTTTTCCCTTCGAGGGGTGAGGAATATCGATCTTCAGGTGTTCTGTTACATGCTAATATAACGGGTTATCGGGTTTAACGAGTTTTGTATATAATCGAGACCAGTGTCAGGAAACACTATCGTAAAAATTAGCTTAGTGTTTAACCATATACTTTAGCTGTTATTAATAAATAACAGTTTTAATATGAGTACCTTTTGTGTAGTATCAGAGAAGATATTGCTACCAGTATCACTGACGCCCTCCAGATCGTCCTCATTTGATACGGACAACATACGATTCAACAGCTCTCTTTCTGGTGGAGACTCCTCGATGTTATTTTCATTATTTCCATGATCAGCATTGGTCTGACATAATGAAGGTTTCTCCGGGATTTTCTGATTCTGCTGATTATGTGAAATGTTGATTTGGTTTGTCACTTCAGCCTGTGTGTGACCAGCATCCTGTAGAGGCAATACTAAACTTAAAATTTATTTCAGTTATGAACTGAAAGTTAATGTTAATAGTTACAAATCCAGGAAGTATTGGGGAAGTGAGGGTCTTGGTGGAACATTATGACAGGATATTTTTGAGTTTAGTGATTGAAACCTCACACAGTTCAATACGTAATTACAGAATTAAACACTTTCCGAAATCTATATGGCAAATTACAGCAATGGCTTCACTATCATTGTTTCCCAGTTATGACGCACTATTACTGATTCACTCTCACTAATTACGTTTCTGATTTGTTCCCACAAAACGTAAAGAGTTTGAAGGATAAGACATTACCTCGATTTTCCCCAAATAGTCAACTGAGAATCACGGACATAAACTACTGTTAAGCACTGTCATACTTATGATAATATAACAGTCCGAATCAGAGATGTTTTGACAAGAAAAATGAATTTAATGCACAGATTAAGCTGACGTGATTTACCTGGTGAGGAGGAGGTGGTGTGTCAGGGCGTTGATGTGGACCAGAATGTTGCTGTTGAAGTTGCTGGGGAGGATGCTCGTGTTGTAGTTGCTGGGGTTGTTGCTGCCATTGTTGTGGCTGATATGGAGGCCGTTGTTCTAGCTGGGGTTGCTTTAGTTGTTGCTCCTGCTGTTGTTGCTGCTGGGGTTGTTGCTGCTGTTGTGGAGGCTGGGGTTGTTTTAGTTGTTGCTCTTGCTGTTGTTGCTGCTGTTGCAGACGCTGTTGTTCTTTTAGCTGCTGTTGTTTTAATTGTTGCTCTTCTTCTTCTTGCTGTTGTTGCTGAGGTTGTTTTTCTGGCTGATATCGTTGCTCTTGCTGTTGTTGCTGGGTATGTTGTTGATGTAATTGTTTTTCTTGCTGTTGTTGGTGAAAGTGTTCCTGAGATTGCTGCTGTTGCTGAATTTGTTGTTGCTGTTGTTGGGGTCGTTGTTGTTGATGCACTCGTCGCTGGGGCTGTTTTATTTGTTGCTGTTGTTGACTTTGTTGCAGTTGGTGTCGGTGTGGTCGTTGCTGATCCTGCTGTTTTTGCAGCTTAGATTGTTGAGGTTGTTGTTTCTGGGGTTGATTCAGCTGCTGCTGTTGCCGTTGTATTTGCTGTTGTGGTTGAGGATTCTGCTGTGATTGTTGATGTATTCGCTGTTGTGGTTGAGGATTCTGTTGTGATTGTTGATGTGTTCGCTGTTGTTCTTGTTGCTGGAGATGCTGCTGCTCGCTCTTTCCAAGTTGGCAGGCTTCTGGATTGTGGTCTGCTGGTGTGGCTGCAGGAGGTTCCAGCTCCTCTTGGCTGGTTCCTCCTTGATGCACATGTAGCTGGTAGAAACGTTAAAAATTAGAGTTATGTGTGTGAGGATTGTATGTTTTCACTCGCCAACTGCTGCCTGCCATTTCGACCTTGTGTCATAGCTCCTGACCCATTATTTTTAACTACAAGTGACTGTTTTCCGCTGATTCTTTGTCTCCGGGGCCCTATAATACCCACTCTTGAACGTATGTATGTGCTTTTCTCTACCATCTTTTAGTCTAGCGTGTTCCACCCTAAGAATGAAAAAAAGTGCTTTCTAACATCCATGTGGCTTATATCTGTGTATTAGTGTTCGTGTGGCAAATATTATACTAGCAAGAGTTCAACATTTGGTCTGGTAGGCTGATGTAGCTTTTATCATGAAGACTAACATAAGGAGGCATTTTTCCTGTTTCCGGACAAATTTTACCTAACCTAACGTCATCATAAGTACAAGTTTTTTTTTTTTTAATTCACAGCATTGAGTAGCTGCCCGGGTCTTTACCAGTTGGTGACCCGGCCTTGGTTCCCCATTGGTGGGGAGTGTCGTTGACATTCAACATGTTTTCCCATGGGGAAGAGGTACACTGTACCTCCTCTTCGTCGGGAACCACTGTCCCCACAACCTAGTCCTAATCCCCGGCCTCACGGGACTCGTAGAGAGAAGCTAGCCTCTGGTGTCTGGTCTGCCACCTTCCCCGCCCCAGGGGGCTCGTGGGAGTGGTAGTCTCGTGAGCAGCAGATTGTAGCATGCTTTCTGGGTACAAGTGTTGGCCTGGTAAGTTGGTGTGTCTACTATTATAATCACGAGTGTTTGGTACCTGGATTGGTATGGTTTTCATCAGTTACAAGTGTTCGGTACCTGACCTGGAATGTTGGTATGTGTATGTATAATGTTCGCCAAGACCGTAGTCCTGGCACGAGTCTCAGTCTTGCGATGACCCGTCTCTGGCTCCCGAGGGAGAAAGGTTTCTACACTGATGCGACGTATGCTGCTCAAGCACTCTTCTGGTCATTTCAACTGGTGTATCTCATAAGCGACAACACCATATGTACTCCTAACTATGGACACTAGCGAGGAGGAGGATATGTCGTTATCACAGGTAATGGAATGTTGGTGTGGGTTTTCTCATAGTTATAATGAATATTCAGTACCTGGTCTGGTGGGTTGGAGTAGCGATGGAGAAATTCAGCGATGTCTAAATGAAGTTTCTTCACAGCGCAGTCTTCGGCAGTACGAAGGCAGTTATCCATGATATCTATAGAGGCTCCCTGTGCCACCAGCCACTTTACCACCTCCAGGTGACCGTTCTCAGCGGCGAGGTGGAGTGCTGTAGCTCCGTCTCTGTTCTGAGAGTCCAGGTCGCACCCTGTCTTTCCCAGCTCTTCAAGCACCTGCTTGTGGCCGTGTACTGCAGCCAGGTGGACTGCTTGTAGTCCTGTAAAGTTCAGTATTATGCTAAACGGGTTTAATTATTATTATATTCAACGTGAAGTTGTAATACCATGTATGTCCTCTAGCACAATGAAAGGTGGAGGCTCGGCTCTTCCACTGCTAGTTACTAGAGAGTCAATATATCTATTTCAAGACAGAAGAACATTAATAAATGTGCGCAGTATAATAAAATAAACAAACGAGTGCAAACTTTTGGATTGAAATGGAAATAAGTCACTGATTTTTTTTTTTTTTTTGGGGGGGGTTATCCTAGGTTCTCGACACATATGCTGCTATATATGATAATCTATGTAACTATTTGTGTATACCTGAATAAACTTACTTACGTGTTACTGGATAAGCCTGATGATAGGCTTTTGAATGTACCTCCAACCCCCCCCCTTCCTCTTCAGTGGTAGCTAGAATAAATAATAATAATAATAATAATAATAATAATGTATTTCTACAAATACAAGGTATACAGGCCTAGCAGAGTATTTCGGGCAAATTAGGTCAATTTTGTCCCAAGATGCGACCCACACCAGTCGACTATCACCCAGGTACCAATTTTACTGATGGGTGAACAGGGACAACCGGTGAAAGGAACCACGTCCAATGTTTCCACCCCTGCCAGGAATCGAACCCGTGGATCCCCTCATTGTGTAAAGCGAGAGCTTACCTACCAGGCCACGAGTCACCCTTAAAGAAATGTGATATTCAAGGACAATGGTGTCAATGGGTCAAAGAGACAGTAGAGTATTATATGGATTAAAATGAGAGTTAATAACAGTTGTATGAGATATAAATGATTTAGAAAGTAAAATATATATACGTACATCTCGAACACAATGCCCAACGAAAAAAATAATAGGCTACAAATAACCGGTAAGGCAGCGGAAGGCCTCGGTCAGATGACCAAAAACTCCAGCTTTGGTTCATCATATAACTAAGACCCGCGTCTGGAAACACTTGTCCTGTTTCCTGACAAACATTACCAACCATCCTTTAATAACTGTCCTGATCTGTAAATAAAGTGGCCTAACCATTGTTTGTCGGTATCATCTTACCATTGACAACCATTAGCGTAGGAGACTCACCTTTATTCTCAGCTGCATTAACATCAGCTCCTCTGGTGAGAAGCTCCTTTACAACATGTGCGTGGCCGTTCCTCACTGCCATGTGCAGAGGCTGCATACCTAGTGAGATACTCATTACTAGGGTGATGGACGCTGCTGCGGTGGCACTCTAAGTTTATTTAACAAAAATTAAAAAAAAAAAAACTTTTGTCACTTAGAAAAAATATAAACATCTCCATTGCACAACACTTGATGTTGGAGAAGTTACATAAAAACCCCGCATTTAGCTGAAATTCGAGCAGCTAAACTCAGAATTGACATTATTATTATTATTATTATCTGATGATGATCGACACCATGTCCAGCCTTTCTAGGGTAGGGTAGGTGCCTGAGTCAGAGCCTGCAGCTCACAGGACTGTCATTCCATTAGCCCCATTGGGGCGGGGATGGCAGACCAGAGAGGCCTAGCTTCTCCCTACGAGCCCCGTGAGGGCGGGGAATGTGGCTAGGCCTGGGGACAGTTGGTCCCAAAGATGAGGGGGTATTTGTGCCTTCTCCCACGGGAGACTTAGGTCTCAGACACTCCCCAGACAGGGAGCCAAGGCCGGGCCACCGCTTGGAAAAGGCCCGGGCCGGGAGATACCAGCGAATCTTTAATAATAATATTATCTGATAGAGCTAAGCCCGTAGGGGTCCCACAGCGCCAGGGAAAATGGGAGGCATTCAGTTTCGATCTCAGGAAGGGGAGAACAAGTATCAGTTCCACGGCTGGAGAGTAACGTATATTGAGACAACATTTCCAAGTGTATATATGGAGGGGACGAGGTGTGGTAAACAAAGGTCAAGGTAAAGCTGTGTGTATGTGTAGGGTGATGAAAGAGGCATCTTGTGGTGTAAGGAATCGAATCCATGAAAAAAATCTGCTGACATGTGTGTGTAGAGAAGGGACATAAACGCTCACCAAGCCACCCACCTCACCACAAAGTTGTCCTTGCGACTTGCAAAGCTGCCACTTTATAATGGTCCATAACGGACCAACATAAATATTATTTTAATTTACAATTTTTAGGTTAGTTATGACTTGTTCCATTCACTGCATTACGACTTTCACTTTTCCTTTTGCTACAAATACATTACAAGGTAACATTAAGTTTCCTCCTTCACCTTACCTCTGTCAATGAGGCTCCTGACCCTGGTGTTGGCTTGGTGATCACACAGGAGCCTCACGATGACAAGGTCACCATTCTTAGCGGCGTTGTGCAGGGGTGTTCTCAGACCCTTGGAACTTCCGTTGACGGCGGCTCCCTGCGCTAGTGCTTTCCGCACTTGTTCCCTCTGCCCCAAGATTGTGAAGTGCTCCTGTAAGGACAACACAGATGAGCCACACTTACGGGAATCTTAAAATATATATTTATATATTCCGTCTTCTCTAGTTACTAGTTTTATAGATATAGCGACAGAGGAGATACAAAATAGAAAGACTGAAATTTATAAAAAAAAAATCGTATAGCCGAGAGATACCTGCACTAAGCATTGTCAGTTCAAAACAAAATAATCTTCTCAGCCATAAAACATTCAACTAATCACACGGTGCTAGTGAAGAGATCTTGTTAGCAGGATTCAATAACTACCTACCCCTCCCTCCCATGACAACCACACGCTATATGACCCTTACGAGTTTAACGTTTCCCAATGAACATACTAATAAAATTACTCACAAGCTTAACCGTCCACGAATCCATTCCCTCAGAGCAACAAAAACTACTCTCAGCTCAAGAGAAGCAGCACTATAGTCAACCTTCCCAGAGAAAAGCACTGAACACGAGAAGGCATTTGGTATGTGTTATACGTTGCTATCTTCTGATAAGATGGTTCTAATCTAACTGCAGCCGCAAGACTGCTACGTTTTGCTTCATAGAGATTGCTCTGTACATTTGGCTACATTATTGGACGAGTGAAGCGTTCTTGAGTGTAATTATCTAATTAACTTGTGAGGAGGAAATGCTTGAAAAAAAAAATGTATGAAGCCTTGGTGGCCCTAATGTAGTCGATAGGCTTTGATACCCATTACCCAACCCACCTTGTATACTCCTTGTATACATTCTGATGCGTATATCCTTTCTATACAGTGCTTGTATACGTGGAGGGGTATAAAATTCGGGATACATACATTTAGAGCCTAATATAATCCAAATATACCCATATTTAGGATTAAAATATTCTTGATTGGTGGTGAAGAGGTGATATGCAGCCTTAATAACCCTCTTTTGTCGATAGGCTTTTAAGCCCAATTTACCAACCAACTATATGTACACCGTCAGAGTACATACACAGAGAGAGATGAGAGCTACACCTCAGTGTAAATACACTGAGACATACACCTATATATATAAACACCTATCAGAGTATATATAGTGTTAAGTCCCGTAGCGCACTCAGCTCAAATACTGTCCGTGGTTCGATCAACGGCACGGGTGGAAACGTTGGGCAAGTTGCCTTACAATTGCTGTCCCTGTTCACTTAGCAGTAAGTAGGTACCTGTGTGTTAGCTATCTGATGTGGGTAGCCTCCCAGGGGGTCGTAGTATACCTTAGATAAGACTTAGCTTTGAAATAGAGTTAGGTCAACAATTCTTAGCTTGAAAAACATTATCTGTAAAATAAAAATAATATCACTGTATATACTCCGAAATAAATTCCTCAATTATACGTACACTGAGAAATACACCTTAGTGCACTAAACCTGTAGGGATCACAATGAATGGCTGACAAGCAAGTGCGATCGATAGAAGAGAAGGCAGCTCCATTTCTTAGGATCAAGAGGACTTGAGAATCATCAAACAAAACAAAGAATTCGAAAAAAATGATAACTAACTATAGGTAAATGTGGGCTTAATGACTCCTTATGCAGTCGATAGGCTTTAAACCCAATTACCCAACCAAGAGGCACTACTTGGCTTTCTTACATTATCCAGTGTTATCCTAGGTTAAACATCACATAACTTACTATATAAAAACCACTGTAAAGGTTTTATATTCTGTATGAGGCCCAAAAACACACAATTTGACATCCTAAGTCTCCGGGCTACTAATGCGACCATAGTTATATGTACCTAACAAATTAGATAAAACTCGCTAAAGTCTAAAATATCTTAAAAGTTTTACCATGAACTAACAGTTCTTTCAATCAGCAATAATACATCTCAAATACTACTTTTGATGCTTTAATGGGTGTCCAGTGGGTCAAGTCATTTACCGTGTAAAGTATTAAGTGTTTGCTATAAACCGGAATTAATGGAAGAATGTTTAGTGTTATCAAGGAAGATAATAGCTAGGTTATCTGAGCTGTTATCTAAGCAGTATATCGTAGAGATCACTAGTGGAGCCTGTGGCTGTCTAGTGATAGTAGAGCACAGTTTACAGCTACCTACATGATCTGAGGTACGTTAAATAGGTCTGCTGTTATTCTTATTAGTTATAAGACCATCTAATATCTTTTAGGTCTTTTGTTCCAAAAACCTGCCGTACTGGTACTCCCTTAGCTCTTATTTTAAAGTGCATTATATAGACTTGTTTATGTGAGCCAGAGTCAAGTCACCATTAAAGACACAGCATCAACAACACGGCCACTTGATACTGGAGTTCCGCAGGGAAGTGTCCTTGGTCCCCTGCTCTTCCTCATATACATCAATGATCTTCCAAACGTATCCCAACACCTGAAACCCATTCTCTTTGCTGACGACACGACTTATGTCATCTCACCCTAATCTTGCCACCCTCAACACCATTGTTAACGAGGAGCTGATCAAAATATCTCTCAGTAGTAGTACCAGTTCCTAGTAACCAGTTACCAGTAACCAGTGTACCAGTAGATGACTCACTACCAACCGTCTCTGCGTGAATCACTGTCTGTATTCATATTGCTGCTGACCACAGCAGTATTTCAAACACCCCCTCACATATGGGTACTGGGGTTAGTCAGTCTTACGAGTGAGAGCAAGGAGGCAGGTCACGGCTGTTTGGCGCTTCCCACACTATCCGTAATATACGTACTACCAGCCTACGTGAGTATTTCTTTACCCTATCCACGTGTTCGAACCCCACATGATATATCGACTTGGATGACAGCCAATAAACTTACTCTTAACACTGACAAAACCTACTATATTATGCTTGGTAGCAGAGCAGGAGATGCACAAATTAACATTAAGATCGACAACACTCTAATTACCAGACATAATGAGGGCAAATTCCTAGGCCTATACCTTGACAACAACCTGAATTTCAGCACCCATATCCAACACATAACCAAAAAAGTATCCAAAACGGTTGGGATCCTCTCCAAGATACGATACTATGCCGCAAAATGCCCTTCTCACACTATACCACTCACTTATTTATCCATACCTCACCTATGCTATTTGTGCTTGGGGATCAACTGCAGCAACACACCTAAAGCCAATAATAACCCAACAAAAAGCTAAATCCCATCCCTGGCAACACACCCCCCCTACTCTTCATAGATCTAAACTTACTCCCTGTTCAGTACATCCACACTTACTACTGTGCAATCTACATCTACAGGACCTTAAACTCCAATATCAACCTTGACCTAAAATGCTTTCTTGATAGGCATAACACCAGACACAAACATCTCTACGACATTCCCCGTGTCCGACTAAACCTTTACAAAAATTCAATGTATGTCAAAGGCCCTAAAATCTGGAACACCCTACCTGAGAACTCTAGAACTGCAGACACATTCATCACCTTCAAAACTACTATTAGAAAACATCTTATCTCCCTGATACACCCCATCAACTAACTACACGAATACCACCTGGTGGTTCACACTTACACTCACTCACCCATTTGACCATAAACAGAAATATTAATCGCAATCTTAAAATAATGAATCCTATGATACTCCAATACTGAAACTATGTACTGTGCCAAAACAAAAGCATTCACATTGCTAAACTCACAAACTAGTATTTAGTCACTTAGCCATAATACCAACTTACCTCATAATTTGTAATATTTTAAAATAAAGAATTAAACTAAGTCTGCCCGAAATGCCTACCTATGCTAGGTGTTCTAGTGGTACACTCTGTAATCATTATTTAACTACATGTAAACCACACAACAACCAAATTCTGTAAATTCAGCATTGTAATCATTATAGAGAATAAACTTTGAATTGAATTGAATTGAATTGAATTGAAGTGGGTAAGCACACTCTAACACGCAGAATGGAATTTCTTGCTCTCTACAATAACAGTATTGATAGGGGCAGGCTTGACTCTGTCCTCAGGATACTTCAGTGATGTTGGCCCACTATTGTGGTCTTGACGGTCAGATCTATATAGTGATGCAGGCTTGACAGTGTGGTCTTGAAATCAGATAAATCTCAAGTGATACTGGACCACCAGTGTGGTCTTGACGATCAGATCTATATAGTGATGCAGGCCTGACAGTGATGCTGGCTCACTAGTGTAGTCTTGACGGCCAGGACCATATATTTCAGTGAGGTCGGCAAGTACATTGTAAGGGCGAAACGGTGCCATATTTTATTAAGTTACATAGGTGTCTGTTTCCCTAACTATTGTCGCTATTACGGCCAATAATTACACGGGTATAATTTTACCTAAAATATGAATACACTAACAATAACTGTTGCATAATAAATTGTATCCGCAGAATTATTTATGAAACAGAGTAAACAGATACTTAGGTTATAATGAAAATAGTAATTACAAAGAAATGTAGGTCATTTCAATAGTTTTATGAATACATAACAAACTGGAGCACCGGCAAGCTTTTCCAATCATTGACAACAGTTAATACAAATTTTGTCATTTTTTCTATATCATGATTTTTAATTTAGCAGTAAATTTAACCACCTATCCTAATCTTACCTTGGTAAAATTTACGTAATGTAAAAAAAGTCTGGTTTACCAATCCTATCAACGAATTTGCATATCTTTATGTGACTTTGAGATGGATGGTAGAAGTAGGTTAGGTTAGGTTAGGCTGGTCAGGAATCAGGACAAGTATTACCTATTAGTCATATGATGACCCGCCACTGGAGCTTTTGGTCATTTGACAGAGGCCTTCCACTGGCTTACCCGTCAACCCCTTTAAAAATTATCGTTATGATTATAAGAGTTTATTAGATTTAGGATGGTAGAAATCTTCAGGTGGCCTGATATATTATTTTGTGCTATTAAATTATATATACTTCAGGGACACACTGATACCACTGCATAATTATGGAAGTTACAAGACCAGAAAAATCCAATTTTCCGAAAAAAAGACAAAATGAAAAAAAGAGCTGTGAATTAGGGGAGAATTTAATGAATAAAAAGACAAACCAGGAGATAGAGTCTGATGAAGAAAGTGGGGAAATTAACAGAATTTCAGATATAGAAAGTGGAACACAAAGGAAAAATTCTTATACAAGTGGAAATAGTCAAATAAATTATACTAAAGATAAGGAAAATGAGAGAGAATGGGAGCCACAGACACCGGCCTGGTTGAGAGAAGATGGAGGAAAGTGGAGAGAAAGAAGAATTAAAGACAGCGGATAAAACTGGGCTTGGCGAAACACAAACAATGCAAAATAAACCAGAAATGGAGACCGCTGGAATACACGCTGCAGTGGGAAGTGAGTTGCAAGACGCAACACAGAAAGAAGTGGAACAGGTAAGAAACAAACTCTCTGTGGGTGTCTTGTGAAGTCGTAATAATAATACTGAAAAACTCACAGAACAGACGGGATTCGAACTCATGGCAAGCCAGTCTTTAAATTCGCATCTTTGATATATCTTGGATGAGTTCCGAGAGTTCTTTTCACTCTCGGAGTCCGGCCATGGGCCAGGCTCGTCTGGTGCTTGCCTGGTTACCCAGGCTGTTGCTGCTGGTGGCCTGCTGACCCACATACCCATCACAGCAAGCCAGTGTTATTACCACTACATTATATCAGCCAAATAAATTCACTTAACTAGTTATATTTATATACAGTACACTAGACTACAAATTCAGGGGTTTACACACGATTCTCGCATCAACATGGGTTCGAATTCTGTACGTTCAGCAAGTTGTTAACATTCGTGTTACTAAGATTTCGCGAACCACTGATAACGGTTTTGAAGAGACTTGAGATAGAGTCTGTCACAGCCATGATGGTGCAAGATTCATCTGTAAAAAGATCCGGCACTGGTCCACCAGTGTTCGTACTATCCTTTCTAGTGTATAAAAATACATGAATTTGGATGAATATTATTAGATTGGCATAATGTAGTTGTTAGAATACAAGAATGAACAGTACAGCAGGTGTACTGGGCCATGCCAGGCAGGTCCAACTCACACCCACCCACATCCGCTCATATACCCGTCCAACCTATATTTAAAGCTATCCGAAGTTGTTGCCTCAATAACACTACTTGGGAGTTTGTTCCAATCATCTACAAGTCTAATGCCAAATCATTTCCCATGACTAGAACATTACACTTACCTGCATTGAACTGCATCTGTCACTTACAATATGATGTTATCATCTTATAAGTGGTAGATGCACCTTTGCAATTAGTGATTACTAGAATAAACATCGTATCTGCTTTAGTAGGATAAGATTTGTTTAGGTTCTCACTGTAAATGGTTCTCATACAATGGTTGCACTAAATACATAAAAGTTTTAGTCATACATTGATATATATTACACGGAGGATAAACCCCTCATAATTAGTGACATAGTTTGGGTGGTGAATTGTGTTGTACATTCAAAGTTGTCTTCTCATGCAGGTACACGTCACTGTTCATGATGCTTCAAGTGTAGGCCCAACGATGGCAGGATCACAGGTGACTTCATTAAGAGGGATCAGCAATGATCTGCTTGGATCAGCTGACACTTCATCTGTACAGATGAGCCAGGTGGACGTCACTCCACTTCAGCAGCATGTCACTCCACTTCAGCACGTCAGTCAACTTCAGCAGCATGTCACTCCACATCAGCACGTCAGTCAACTTCAGCAGCATGTCAATAAAGTTCAGAAAGAAAACGTAAGCTTCATTTAGTCTATATTTTTTATGTAATTTAGTTATTTATTAAAGGAAACATTTCGCCACGAGTCTTCGTCAGTCCTAACCACTCGTGGCGAAACGCCTTTAATAACTAATGAACTCAGGTTATAATCATACCCATAATTTTTAAAGGGGTGGAGTGGTAAGTCAGCAAAAGGCCTCGGTCATATGACCAGAAGCTCCAGCTAGGGGTCATCATATGATTAAGACCCGCGCCAGGAAACACTTATCCTGTTTACTGACAAATATTACCAACAACCAACCCTGTTAACCAATCTATCTCAAACTGTTTCACTCAAATAATTATCTGACTTTTCCAATTAGTATACAACTTATTGAGGCTGCTTGTAACCTATACACTATCAGTTAAGGATATTTTAATTCCTAAGATAAGAGATTATATTCAACTCTCAGTGTATATACGCGGAGATACACACCTCTCTGTGTATATACACGTCTTGCGCACATAATTAAGATAAGATTTATTAAGGTTCACTACCTATGATTCCAGATTATTATACACTAGCTGAAACATACGCATAACTATATACATATATTGCTAGTAAATTGTGTAGATTTTCACTTCAGATAATAATACATCACTGTTAACGCCTAGAAAGGCTCAATAATATATCGTTTTTGTAATTCATAGAAATTTTTCTTGACATTATGCACTCCAGTTTTTTTTTTTCAAAGAATACAAAAAGATATATTGAAAACTACAAAACTGACCCTTAAGTGAATTGCAATTCTTCACAGAAATTGCTAAAGGAAGAACTAGAGATGAGAGGAAGAATGGGCGAGACTAACAGGAGTACAGAAGAAATAGGAAGACATCTTAAAAAGAAGAAAGAGGAGCTCACACAAGTTAAATTAAGTTGTGTGTTGTTTAAAAAATTATTTAATATGATGTATATTTGCACTGACTAAATTCTTTTATTGCAGCTTGCTAAGAGATGGAAACTGAAAAAAATACAAAATCTGTCTGTCTGTCTGTCTCTCTCTCTCTCTCTCTCTCTCTCTCTCTCTCTCTCTCTCTCTCTCTCTCTCTCTCTCTCTCTCTCTCTCTCTCTCTCTCTCTCTCTCTCTCTCATACAATAGGTTGTCAGTAATTTTTATGTGGACACTAGAAGACTATACATGTACTAGGATGACCTGGATAGGTTGATGTGATCAGAGAAGCAGTAGATACTTTCAAGGTAAAACAAGTGTAAGGTTCTAATTCTAGGAAAATAAAATAACTATGGCACTTATAACCTAATAATGTAGAGCTTAATCAAAGTGAATGCGAAAAAAAAAATCTAGGAATTCTGGTTAGCAGAAATTTAAAGCCAAGACTGCATAAATGTGCGCAATTAAGCTATAATTATTAGCTTTATATCAAGAAAGATAAATGATAGAAGTCATAAGATTATACTGAAAATCTGTATATATTTGATAAGACCTTATTTAAGTTATACTGTTCAGTTTTGGTCTCTCTATTACAGAAGGAACATAAATGCGCTGGAAAATGTACGAAGAATGAAGTTGATTCCATGTTTTAGGAACTGAGAGATTGTGTGTGAGGTTTATAGGTACAATCCTGATTATAGGTACAATCCTGAATTATTTCACCTACATAGCTGGGAAGAACTCTTGGCACAACTAAAACAAATACTACAATTACTGATATTACTTGTACCTCGGAGACAGGCTGGACTTTAGCAATAGTGGGTAACTACACCGTCCCACCTTGTCTACTCCCCATACTCACACAATCTGGACCTTAAATTAGGAACATATGGTTCCTGAATATTTTGAAGAAAAATTATACAAGTAACACTGACAAATTTTATGTGGACTATTTAAAAAAAAATTATTAACTGAATATAATTATTACGACATGAGTGTTCACATAAATTAAGACACCTACTCAACTATTCCTTGGGCTGTACATCTTAACATCTGATCGTGGGTTCTATCCCGTCCGTGGTATGGTTTGCCTTCCTGTTGGTGGGCAACTAATATTGGCCAACAAAAGTTATATTACATACCACGTGACAATTAAAACTCACTTAGAGGCGAAAACACATTAATATCCACGCGGTAGATGGTTCTTGATCGTGTCAACCCGCGTCTCAATTTTTCTATTATCCGCCTTAATCTGACATTTACAGTATACATCGGTATTATTCCAGATGCTCTCCACATAACTCATTTTCCAGAGCAGATTTGCGCTGATATTATTCCTATCAGCTACGATTAGTTACGATTCATTTACCAACACTCATTAGAACAACACGTTACGCCATTATAACGGCCTTCTGCCCCCGAATGTTTTTTTTTTTCCTGACGACATTTTCTAAAAAAAAATCACATCAACACCACACTTTATATTATTGTTATTACACTAATTACCGGAAAATTAAAAAAAAAAATCCACAGAAACCTTTCCTACGAAAATAGGTTGAAGGCCCTATCTTCGCTCTGGAAAGTCGTAAAATTAGGGGAGATATAACCAAAGTGTACAAATGCGTAATAGGAATAAATAAAGGTGTTATAAATAATGTGCTAAAAGCATCCAACCATCACAGGACTCGCAGCAATGGATAAATTTAGATTTCGAAATAATGTAGGGAAGTACTGATTTGACAGTCGAGTTTCAGATGAGTGGATCAAATTCCCAGGTAGGTCAGTGAGGCAAGAACTGAGTAGTTTTCAATATAGGTTGTGCGGGTATACGAGTAGATGTATGTTGGCCCTGCCTATCATTATTACTTCATTCTCATGTTCGTAAATTTCACTTCTCAGAATATCTGATCTTTCTTTTCGTTGAGTAATGGGACTTACTCTGACATACTTCCTTTTGCACACTCTCTCTTTGTCCACCAGGAAAGACTGAATGTTCAGATGCCGGAGTTACGAGACCCGAGGAAAAGTACTCTTGAAGAATATGAAGCTATCATTAAAAAAAACAAGACGGAATTACATGAACTAAAGTTATCAATGGTTGGTCTTACGTTTTCTTCTCACTTAAATTTCTTTTTTCATTTGTTTACTAAATTTCATTTATAAAATGCTTAATTATTTTTAATTTCGCCTTTATTAATATTGTTTGGTTTCAAGGTAAAAAAAATCCTCTAAATATAGAAAAGTATCATTAATTGCTGAAAAGGTTGACCTTGTATGATATTCATGCGTTTATTTATTTTTAGTTTCACATTCAGTGATGCATTTATTATATTCGCTATCAAATGATTACATGCATGGAGTCCTTCCAAATTATTCTATATTTAGGCTTTTCTGCTAAAATTTTCACAATTTATTCAGTTATCTATAAATCTTCACATATTTCAGCTGTACAAGGCAGTGTTGACAGGAGATAAAGGCACAGTGCAGCAGCTCAGGAAAGAGAATTTTGACTTTAACTCCAAATATTCAGGTTAGCCATTTATCTGATGGATGTACGATGGATACTAGGCTAGTATAGTGTTCAGACAGCTAAAGAGTTCATAGCTTTTTTAGCTTGAAGATGAGAATGAATCATTAGCATATATTGTCCACTGACACTAGTGTAATGTTTCTGTTTTTTACGTAGTCTGAACACCCACCATCACATTTTTTTTATATATCTATTGTTTTCGGAATGGTGAGGTAATCGTGTGCAAGGCATCGACTGTTTGACCACAAACGCCACTGAGCGAGTTATGGTTTGACTAAGACCTCCGTCAGGAGAAATTTTAACATATTTTCTGACAAGTAAAATGCACCTTCAAGATATAGTGATCCTTGGTTTTGTTTTTAACTAAGGTTTAACACGTAGCTGGGGTAGTCCAGCTGATGCTTGACCACTGAAAGGGTCATCATCTGCCACAGGATCCTATCTGGAGACAGAAACCTGTTTTTTTTTTCTTACCAACAAAACACCACAACTAACAGTGTACGCTTCATTATTTTTAATTCAGGCTTGAAAACTTGCCTTATTCGGTGGCGTTCACATAACCCTTTTTTTCTATAATCCTTCAAAATCAATCGTAACATCACGAATTTAGCACATGTTGCTAAACAACGCAGGCTAAATTTAGGCTGATATTACATAGGTTGGGTAGGATTATACACAGTGAGTGGTGTACATACCGAGCGATGCTGGATGCTTGGTTAATGGGAATGTAAACCTGGGGACTAAACCAGGGTTATTATGGCTGAATATTACTCTATTCACCACCAGAAAAGAACAATTTAATCCTTAAACCAGGAATTAAAAGTAAATTTTCAGCCTATGTCTAACAGCGCTTAGTTTTGATAATAATAATAATAATAATAATAATAATAATAATAATAATAATAATAATAATAATAATAATAATAATAATAATAATAATAATAATCTCTAAGCAAATGTTTCATACACAGGGGAGATGATATTACACATCGCGGTCAAACAGGGACGTTGTGAAGTACTTAGTGAGCTGGTGGAGGGCGGAGCAGACATCAACGCTACTAACAGCCAAGGTTTGTATATCTTATAGTCACTTGTTACATGTAATTCCTACAGCACTGCTTATCAGTTCAGTTTTTCACCTCACACTTGTACTTAGCGCGTGTAGTAGGCTGGTAGACAGCAGTTGTCCAGTCAGGTAATATCACCTTGTCAATTGTCAAACGGAAGCTTGTTAAACGTTTGGCACTATGGCAGACTTGTTGGCCTTTTGTTTTTGTCTCTTGAAAGTGAAAATGACACAGATGTTACGATCTACTTATATTCAGCATAGATTTTTTTTTTTACATTCCTATGCTTCTTTAGTTATTAACATTGTAATACTGTATTTCAGTTTATTAATGAGGCCTGGTGTGTACTCAGCTAATTGTGGTTGCAGGGGTCGAGTCATAGCTCCTGGCCTCGCGTCTTCATTGGTCGCTACTAGGTCACTCCCTGCTCCGTAAGCTTTATCATACCTCTTCTTAAAGCTTTGTATGGATCCTGCCTCCACCACCTCCCTTCCCAGACTATTCCACTTCCTGACAATTCTGTGACTGAAAAAATACTTCCTAACATCACTGTGACTCATCTGAGGCTTCAACTTCTAACTGTGACCCCTTGTTGCTGTGTCCCACCTCTGAAATATCCTGTCTCTGTCCACCTTGTTGATTCCTCTCAGTATTTTATATGTTGTTATCATATCATCCCCCCTGTCCTCCAGTGTCGTCAGGTCGATTTCCCCTAACCTCTCCTCGTAGTACATGCTCCATAACTCCGGAACTAGTTTCGTTGCAAACCTTTGCACTTTAAAAAAAACCATACCGCGGGCGGGGATAGAACCCGCCCGTGGTATGGTTTGTTTGCAATCGTGTCATTACGATTTCGTGAGTCTTTGCACTTTCTCTTAATTTTTGGACGTGTTTGGTCAGGTGTAGGTTCCAAACTGGTGCTGAATACTCCAATATGAGCCTGATGTACACTGTGTATAGAGTCCTGAACGACTAGTTACTGAGATGTCGGATTGCTATTCTTAGGTTTGCTAGTCGCCCGTATGCCGCAGCAGTTATTTGATTGATATATGTGTATGTGTGTGTGTGTGTGTGTGTGTGTGTGTGTGTGTGTGTGTGTGTGTGTGTGTGTGTGTGTGTACTCACCTAGTTGTACTCACCTAGTTGAGGTTGCAGGGGTCGAGTCCTAGCTCCTGGCCCCGCCTCTTCACTGGTCGCTACTAGGTCACTCTCCCTGAACCATGAGCTTTATTATACCTGTGCTCTGTGTGTGAGTGTATGTGTGTGTGTGTGTGTGTGTGGGGTGTGTGTTTTGTGGTGTGTGTGTGTGTGTGTGTGTTTGTTTGTGTGTGTGGGGGGTGTGTGTTGTGTGTGTGTACCACCCCTTCTAGAAAAATATCCTATATTTGCCTGTAGTTAATAACATGTAAATAACTGTTAACCACATACAACTACAATATAATGCTTCATGACTATAGATTTATGTTTTTTCTGAATTCGATAAACTTTGTTGCTTACCAAACACAAATATTGGAATCCAGTCCCTGGACTTACGGCAATCTTTCAGCCCTATAGGATGGGTATTGGATACATGATAAAGATATCAAACTAACCCTCCTCTAGCTGTCCGCACAAAAAGCTACCTAGTGTACATTGTACAGATAGTCTATTTTATTTATTTATATAAATAAGTCTACATGTTTTATCCTGGAATTAACTAATATTATTTTTTTCTATTCGCGGATATTTACGTATGATCAGGTGAGACGGCTTTACACATAGCCATCAGACACAAACGGTTCAGCAAGGTGGTGGATAAGCTGCTTACACTCGGAATAGACTGGCACTCACCAGATGCAAAAGGTCAGGTCATTTTTGTCTTTCAAACTATGATTGGTTGTTTTCTTAGGTTTAAAGCCTGTGGACTACGGGAGGGTCAATTTAGGGTGCATATCACCTGTACATTACCAGTCGAGGACACTTAATTCCTGATGAAGAATTTAGCGTAAACTCTGAGCATAGGTACATGGGTGGTGTTTTATTCATCAGGAAACAGAATAGTGTCTCCTGACACGGGTCTTAAGCAGATAATGACCTGTCAGGTGATTAAGCCTCTGCTGGACAGATGAGACCAAAGTTTTACACATAGTTTATAAGCCAAAGATCATTACTAAAGCAAGGTATATACACCCAGAGTGTATATACATACATATTCTGACTATACATACTCTGACTGGGGGTGAACAGGTGGCATGCAAGGTTAATAATACCTTTAACCATCCAACCGGAGTAATGCATCTTTGGATGTTGATATCCTTGTGGTTTGGAGATTAGAAGAGGGGGCGGGGTTTCTAAAAGTATTATCCAGAGGGCTGAGGTGGGGGTGTTGAGGTGGTTCGGACATTTAGAGAGGATGGAACAAAATAGAATGACTTGGAGGGAGTACAAATCTGTAGTGGGAGGAAGGCGGGGTAGGGGTCGTCCTAGGAATGGTTGGAGGGAGGGGAGTAAAGGTTTTGGGATTCAAGGAAACGGGTTAACCGGACTGCAATCCTGGGGATGGTAAGTACAGTGCCTGTACTCTGAAGGTGGGGTAGAGATACCTGGAGTTTACCTGGAGAGAGTTCCGGGGGTCAACGCCCCCGCGGCCCGGTCTGAGACCAGGCCTCCGGTGGATCAGAGCCTGATCAACCAGGCTTTTGCGGCTGGCTGCACGCAAACCAACATACGAGCCACGCCCGGCTGACCCGGGAAAACTGACTTTAGGTGCTTGTCCAGTGCCCAGCTTGAAGACTGCCAGGGGTCTGTTGGGTAATCCCCCTTATGTGTGCGGGGAGGCAGTTGAACAGCCCTGGGGCCCCTGACACTTATTGTATGGTCTCTTAACGTGCTAGTGACACCCCTGCTTTTCATTGGGGGATGGTGCACGTCTGCCAAGTCTTTTGTTTTCGTAGTGGGTAAATTTCGTGTGAAAGTTCGGTACTAGTCCCTCTAGGATTTTCCAGGTGTATATAATCATGTATCTCTCCCTCCTGCGTTCCAGGAATACAGGTTTAGGAACCTCAAGCGCTCCCAATAATTGAGGTGTTTTATCTCCTTTTATGCGCGCCGTGAAAGTTCTCCGTACATTTTCTAGGTCGGCAATTTCACCTGCCCTTTAAAGGTGCTGTTAGTGTGCAGCAATTTTCCACCTAGATAGAACAAGTGACCTGAAGAGTGTCTCATGGGCTTTTGGCCCCCCCTAGTTTTGAAGGTTCTCATTATCCATCCTGCATTTTTCTAGCAGATGCGATTGATACAATGTTATGGTCCTTGAAGGTGAGATCCTCCGACATGATCACTCCCAGGTCTTTGACGTTGGTGTTTCGCTCTATTTTGTGGCCAGAATTTGTTTTGTATCTGATGAAGATTTAATTTCCTCATGTTTACCATATCTGAGTAATTGAAATTTCTCATCGTTGAACTTCATATTGTTTTCTGCAGCCCACTGAAAGATTTGGTTGATGTCTGCCTGGAGCTTTGCAGTGTCTGCAATGGAAGACACTGTCATGCAGATTCGGGTGTCATCTGCAAAGGAAGACACGGTGCTGTGGCTGACATCCTTGTCTATGTCGGATATAAGGATGAGGAACAAGATGGGAGCGAGTACTGTGCCTTGTGGAACAGATATGTTGCAGTTTTTGAACTGTAGTGTCGGCACGCCTCTGGCTAGACAGTGAAGTTGTGAATGATGATGAAAGTGTTTTTCGGGTCACCCTGCCTTGATGGGAAATGGCTGATGCACTCAAAACCATAAGAATAAATATAAATAGGAAGATTAATTTTGTGAATTATTATTGTGAGCAAATTACCTGCATGAGGTTTATAGGGTATTATCTGAATTATTACATTCAAATAATTTGGGTGAGATAAGTGGGACTTAAGTCACAGTAGGTCGCAGGACTGTAACTCCCTCGATGCCCACCCCCTACCACGCACAAAAAGCTAGGCCTGGCATTAAATTAATAATTACAATATTGAAACCAGCTACTCTGGTAAATTAAAGTTGTGGACTGTATATGCTGGGTACACAAAAGAAATTTGTATTGCCACTTACCATTAAATTACTATAGATGGATCACACCACAACACCTGCCTGACACCTAGACCCTACACTGTCCAGTTAGAGATTTAAATGAAAGGACTAATGGCACACTTCCCTGTGAGCAATCGTCATATCCCTTTTCTTCCACCATCCACATGTAATCCTTGAGGTCCCGCAAATTTCCTGTCCCAATTCTTCAGCAGCGGACATTAACACGGGTTCCTATTACGAATTCAGGCCGAAAAACCCATTTTAGCCACGAAGACGCCGGATCATTAGCTGAATTTTCCTCGACATGCAGTGCCCACAAATTACAAATGGCGTCTCTCTGCAGCATCACTCCCCCGGCTGTTCCACATCCTCCTCACTCGAAATTTCTCGAAGGGTCCAAATAGCATCACATTTTAATACGTAATTATTATATTTTTTTCAAATTTAAATATGCTGAATTTAGGAAAATTTAAAATTTTCCACAATTAACAATAATAAAAAATAATTAAAGCCATAATAAACGGTATATGCACCTTATACAGAGAAGTATACATTTACCTAAGGGATAATTGACGTCTTATGTTTGTGTTAGGTATAATGCAGGCTTAATAACCCTCGTGTAATCGAAGGGGCTTAAGTGCGGAAATTCATTAACAACAACGATCTTTGATTCTATCTCTTTGTGATTTTTACATATATTTGTTTACAGGATGGACTCCAATGCAGTTGGCGGCAGCAATGGGGGAGAGAGGAGCCTTGGAAATATTTGCCAAAAATGACTACAACTGCTTGAGTTTAGCGGTAGACAGAGAAGAGTCGACGTTGTTACACTATGCTGCTGCCAACAAACAGAAGAACTTGGCCAAGTGGCTCGTTAAACAAGGCCTGACCCGTGAAAATGAAGATCAGAGAGGATACAAAGCTAAGCACTACGCTAGAATGGCTGGGGATAAGGAGCTTGCTCGCTGGCTTGATAAATGGGTGAGTTTACAAATATTACATAGGCCACATCACTCATATTTTTTTTTAACACCGGTCGTCTGCCACCGAGGAAGAGTTACCCGAAAAAAGAACAATTGGAAGTTTTTTCTTATTTTTACACTTAGTAATTTCATGATTCATGTGTATATATTAAATTAAGAATTCGTTTTACCACTATGTATTTATATCCTTACATACGCTAAATCGTGATTAAAATGATTCTGACTTTTTTATTCTTCATCTTAATTTTTAATATTTTTTTTCTCACATTGTTTACTATTCCAGTACAGGAAGATTCCTCTTATAAAATATTGTATTTCAAGTAAGAACGAGATGGACAAGGAAGCATTGCAACGTCTTCGTATACCTGTAAGTCATCACTCAGTGCCTAAAATTTAAAATATTAAATTTTTCTTATATACACCGAGAGTTGTATATCTGAGCGTATATAAAGAGAGTTTGCTTCAATCTAGTCTATTTTAGGGATTAAAGTATTCTTGATTGGTAGTGAGCAGGTGACCTGCAACTTTATGACCCATTAAGTAGGTTGACCTCTTCAAGCTCAATTAACTCACTACCCATTTTACATTGAGGAAAGTATTTTTCTCGATGCGTATATGCTGACACAGTATAAACACATCTGTGGGTATATGCCTCAGTATAAAATTTCAGGGTGTATTTTGACTGTTGCTGTACATGTGGCCTGCATCCTTAATGACCCTCGTGTCAGCGAGAGGCTTAAAACTTAACAAACCAGTCATCTAAACTATCTTGGAAGGTGCGGAGCTGTTTAACAGTAATTAGAGCTAGTGAATCTACACCAAAAATTGTATTTTGGTATACATTCACTAGCACCAACAGCTTACAGATACTAAGGATGTTTCTCTAATATACACTGAATCTAATTTATACTTTAGGGACAAATTTTATCAATTAGTGATGTAAAGGTAATTGCTCTATTAACCCATGTGTTGTCGATAGCCTTAAACCTACGGCTTAAATTAGGCTATATATACCTAACAGTTCGTCTTAAATTTGTTGTAAATCTCTACATTAAGCTTTGTTTATCATTTTGCTTATTTCTTTTTCTATACGTAATATTAACAAAGTCATTACTATTGCGAGAATGGTATACTAAATTTCAAATGATGTTTGTCTGTATACAGAGTGAGACAGACCTTTCATCCTTCAGCACTCATCAGACAAGTAGTACGTCACCACATGTTAGTAGAGATACCATGACTAACACTACAGATATAGTCAATTCGAGTACAGAGATGCTAATTAATACTCCTGACACACTTAAATCAAGTTCCTCCAGTGCAGGCACTAAAGTTGCAAAAGCAGAGACGAACCGTCTACATAGTCAAAAGGTAAGACTTCGGTAAATGTATGAGAGGACAAGTGCTAGGCGTTGAGGCAGAGGTGGTCTATGACACAAGCTATGTCTTCGAGGGTTAGGGAGGTGGTCTGTGATAAAAACTGTGTCTTTGAGGATCAGGGAGGTGGTCTGTGATAAAAACTATGTCTTTGAGGGTCAGGGAGGTGGTCTATGATAAAAACTGTGTCTTTGAGGGCCAGGGAGGTGGTCTATGATAAAAACTCTGTTTTTGAGGGCCAGGGAAGTGGTCTATGATAAAAACTCTGTCTTTGAGGGTCAGGGAGGTGGTCTATGATAAAAACTGTGTCTTTGAGGGCCAGGGAGGTGGTCTATGATAAAAACTCTGTCTTTGAGGGTCAGGGAGGTGGTCTATGATAAAAACTCTGTCTTTGAGGGTCAGGGAGGTGGTCTATGATAAAAACTCTGTCTTTGAGGGTCAGGGAGGTGGTCTATGATAAAAACTCTGTCTTTGAGGGTCAGGGAGGTGGTCTATGATAAAAACAGTCTTTGAGGGCCAGGGAGGTGGTCTATGATAAAAATTCTGTCTTTGAGGGCCAGAGAGGTGGTCTATGATAAAAACTGTGTCTTCGGAGTATTAGATGACGATTTCTACTTACCATTGCAGAAGATTTCTACTTACCATCAAGCAAAAGTCTGCTACCATTAGTAGCAGACTTCTGCTTAACCTGAAGTTTACCTGGAGAGAGTTCCGGGGGTCAACGCCCCCGCGGCCCGGTCTGTGACCAGGCCTCCTGGTGGATCAGAGCCTGATCAACCAGGCTGTTACTGCTGGATGCACGCAAACCAACGTACGAGCCACAGCCCGGATGGTCAGGAACCGACTTTAGGTGCTTGTCCAGTGCCAGCTTGAAGACTGCCAGGGGTCTGTTGGTAATCCCCCCTATGTATGCTGAGAGGCAGTTGAACAGTCTCGGGCCCCTGACACTTATTGTATGGTCTCTTAACGTGCTAGTGACACCCCTGCTTTTCATTGGGGGGATGTTGCGTCTGCCAAGTCTTTTGCTTTCGTAGTGAGTGATTTTCGTGTGCAAGTTCGGTACTAGTCCCTCTAGGATTTTCCAGGTGTATATAATCATGTATCCTCCCCCTGCGTTCCAGGAATACAGGTTTAGGAACCTCAAGCGCTCCCAGTAATTGAGGTGTTTTATCTCCGTTATGCGCGCCGTGAAGGTTCTCTGTACATTTTCTAGGTCAGCAATTTCACCTGCCTTGAAAGGTGCAGTTAGTGTGCAGCAATATTCCAGCCTAGATAGAACAAGTGACCTGAAGGGTGTCATCATGGGCTTGGCCTCCCAATTTTTGAAGGTTCTCATTATCCATCCTGTCATTTTTCTAGCAGATGCGATTAATACAATGTTATGGTTCTTGAAGGTGAGATCCTCCGACATGATCACTCCCAGGTCTTTGACGTTGGTGTTTCGCTCTATTTTGTGGCCAGAATTTGTTTTGTACTCTGATGAAGATTAATTTCCTCATGTTTACCATATCGAGAAATTGAAATTTCTCATCGTTGAATTTCATAATGTTTTCTGCAGCCCACTGAAAGATTGGTTGATGTCTGCCTGGAGCCTTGCAGTGTCTGGCAAGGGAAGACACTGTCATGCAGATTCGGGTGCATCTGCAAAGGAAGACACTGTACTGTGGCTGACATCCTTGTCAAATGTGGGATATGAGGATGAGGAACAAGAATGGGAGCGAGTACTGTGCCTTGTGGAACAGAGCTTTTCACCGTAGCTGCCTCGGGCTTTACCTGTTGACGACTACTCTCTGTGTTCTGTTAGTGAGGAAATTATAGATCCATCGACCGATTTTCCCCGTTATTCCTTTAGCACGCATTTTGTGCGCTATTAAGCCTTTGGGCACACTTGTCGAAGGCTTTTGCAAAGTCTGTAATATATTACATCTGCATTCTTTTTGTCTTCCAGTGCATCTAGGACCTTTTCGAGTGATCCAATAGTTGAGACAGACAGAGCGACCTGTTCTAAACCCATGTTGCCCTGGGTTGTGTAACTGATGGGTTTCTAGATGGGTGGTGATCTTGCTTCTTAGGACCCTTTCAAAGATTTTTATGATATGGGATGTTAGTGCTATCGGTCTGTAGTTCTTTGCTGTTGCTTTACTGCCCCCTTTGTGAAGTGGGGCTATGTCTGTTGTTTTTGTAACTGTGGGACGAACCCCGTGTCCATGCTCCCTCTCCATAGGATGGAAAAGGCTCGTGATAGGAGCTTCTTGCAGTTCTTGATGAACACGGAGTTCCATGAGTCTGGCCCTGGGGCAGAGTGCATGGGCATGTCATTTATCGCCTGTTCGAAGTCATTTGGCCTCAGGATAACATCGGATAGGCTTTTGTTAACAAATTCTGTGGCTCTCTCATAAAAAATTCATTTTGATCTTCGACTCTCAGTCTGGTTAGCGGCTTGCTAAAAACTGAGTCATATTGGGACTTGAGTAGCTCACTCATTTCCTTGCTGTCATCTGTGTAGGACCCATCTTGTTTAAGTAGGAACCCAATGCTGGACGTTGTTCTCGACTTTGATTTGGCATAGGAGAAGAAATACTATGGGTTTCTTTCGATTTCATTTATGGCTTTTAGTTCTTCCCGCGATTCCTGACTCCTATAAGATTCCTTTAGCTTAAGTTCGATGCTTGTTTTTTCTCTGACCAGTGTCTCCCTACGCATTTCAGATATATTGACCTCTTTTAGCCGCTCTGTTATTCTTTTCCGTCACCTGTAAAGGGAGCGCCTGTCTCTTTCTATTTTACATCTACTCCTCCTTTTTCTTAGAGGAATAAGCCTTGTGCAAAACATCGAGTGCCACAAGTTAATCTGTTTAGGCATAAGTTGGGGTCTGTGTTGCTTAGTATATCTTCCCAGCTTATATCGGTTGGACTTGGTTTACTTGGTCCCACTTTATGTTTTTGTTATTGAAGTTAAATTTGGTGAATGCTCCCTCGTGACAAAATCTCATTATGTCGGTCTGGGGCTCCGCATACATGTCTGAACCTCAATTATGTTGTGATCTGAGTATTTTTGTTTTTTGATATGGTGACTTTTCTTTTTAGATCATCATTGTTAGTAAGATGAGGTCTAGTGTATTTCCAGTCTAGTAGGCTCCATTATTTGCTGGTTTAAATTGAATTTGGTGCAGAGATTTAAAAGCTCGTGTGAGTGTGAGTTTTCATCAGAGCTGTTCCTGGTGTATTACTGCAACAATATTTATTTGCTATATTCCTCCATATTGGTGCCTTAGTTGAAATCCCCCAGGAGCAAGATGTTGGGTGCAGGAGCTGGAAGATTTTCCAGACAGTGGTCAATTTTTGACAGCTTTTCCCTGGAATTGCTGGGATGTTGCATCCGGAGGCTTGTAGACTACCACAATGACTGGGTTTTTGGGTTTTCTGACCTTTACTGCTAAAACTTCCCCTACATCATTGAGGCATTAAGCAGTTCTGTGCAACAAGTGAGTCTGCAATGTACAGGCCAACTTCCCCCCCTTTTGCCTGTTCACTCTGTCACATCTGTATAGGTTGTAAACCTGGGATCCATATTTCGTTGTCCCAAATGATCCTTTTTTGTGGGTCTCAGTGAAAGCCGCGAACATTGCCTTTGCCTCTGCAAGCAGTCCACGGATGAAAGGTATTTTGTTGTTTGTTGCTGGCTTTAGGGCCCTGTATATTTGCAAAGAAGAATGTCATCGACTGGTTTGGGATTGTTGGTACTGGGGGGGAATTTTTTTTTCCCGGGATTAGTATCTGTATTCTGTTTTCTGTTGCTTTGGGTGGAAGCCATCGACTGTGGTTCCATCCAGGAATGACTGGATTTGGTGTACAATTTCTGCCATTTCCTGCCAGTTTTTTTTCCTTCCTGGCACTAAAAAACCTCTCCCTCTTGAGTGGCTGTGGCTACCCAGGTTTTCCCATGGCCTGGATGTTTTGTATCTTTTTGTCCCCTTTAGATGGTGTGCCGGGCAATTTAAGTTATAGCACAGTCTTTCCTGTACTGAAGAGGTACACATTTCAGGGTGAAAAGCTTACAGGAAGGGAGTTTTGCATTTTCCTGTTGTCATATGGGCACGGCATTTTCTAGGGTGGTCATAGTTGCACGTCCCGTCTGTTTTTCCAGATTTCCCATGTCTGCCGATACCTAGTGCATAGTATGTGCACAGGCTTGGTTTCCGTTTGCCTTGGGTTTCTGTGACTGTATTCCCTGTTGGTGCATGTTTCCCTGTCTTATTCCTATCCTCCCTAGCACCAACAATGGCGCTCCCACCAGTTGTTTTTGGTAATATATCCTCACTATTGCTAGTGGAGTCCTCTTGTTTGCTATTTCCTGTGGTATTTCTAGTTTGCAATATTGGTTTTATCTTATCTTTGACTACACTTGTTTCCCCACTACGGCTCCTGCCCTCTATGAGGTCATTTATATGTATTCCTTCCTGCGTATAATTCCCGACTACCTGGACAGCACCTCCAGCTTCACCATTACTGTCTCCCAGGACAGCACCTCCAGCTTCACCATTACTGTCTCCCAGGACAGCACCTCCAGCTTCACCATTACTGTCTTCCAGGACAGCACCTCCAGCTTCACCATTACTGTCTCCCAGGACAGCACCTCCAGCTTCACCATTACTGTCTCCCAGGACAGCACCTCCAGCTTCACCATTACTGTCTCCCAGGACAGCACTATCGGCCCCACATTTACTGACTACCAGGACATCACCTCCAGCCTTACAGTTTCTGACTACATGGCCAGTATCAAGGGCAGTACCATTCAGCCCAGACTTTTTATGTTCCCATCTGTTGTAGAAAGCTTCCAGGTTTTCTATGAAAGCAGCTTTGATGTTATCCTCTTTTAATACCCTTATGATTTTAGTCCACAGATTTATCTCATTTGGGCATACCCAAAAGCACTTCCCTGTTTTAATACTGATTGTAGCTAGTACTTGGATATCTGCACAAGGGGCATGACACCAATTTTCACAAAAATGACAATTTATCCATGTGGAAGCCCGTTTGTTTGATTGACTGCAGACTACACAGAGCTTCATAATGATTTGAATGGTTGATTTACTGTAATTCTACTAGCAACCTCTTGAATACTCTATTAATAACCTCCTTAAATGAAGCTCTAGCTATTTGTATTTCTATTTCTAACTGTACTTGTATATTGGACAGCTTACCGTGTACATTCCTGATTTATATTTATTGTTTGTGTTTGATAAGGGCGCCTACAACCCCATCAGTTTGCAGTCTGCTTTATTGTCCAAAGAATCCATTTGAAACCAGTCAAGGGTTCGGACCAGTCGAGGGTTCGGACCAGTCGAGAGTTCGGAACCAGTCTGATCTGATCAGTGGGTCATTTATTTAAAACATACTGGTCGGTGATTTGGGCTAACACATGAAGGATTTACTTGAAATTATCTACCCGAGTAATATGTGATTTGATTACAAAAGTATAACTTGCAAGCAGCCTTCTACTCAGTAGCTCTATTTCGTAAAACTCAACAAATTAATAAGAACTCGAGACTGTATATTAATCATATTAACCTTTTTCTTTTTTTATTCAGAAACGAGCACCATCTCGCCAGCCCCCTGAACAAAGTAATGCTCATCTGCAAGAACTACCCCGGGAGAATGGTCCTGCAGTTGAGGTTGCAAACCCCACCACTGTAAGAAATTCTGACTGTTTTAATTCAGTAGCATTAGACACAGTAATTTAAGGGATTTAACTCCTTTCCTGAATTCATTTGGGATCGAATAGTCGGAAGGCAGGAGGGTGTTCCAGGAGTCAATGCCTCCACTGCCCGGTCCATGACAAATATGAATAAAGACACTAGAGAAGAGCCATTCATCTCTCGACCACTGGGAAGAGAGGACGCTTCTTGAGTCTCCCTACACGCCACCTGGTGGTGACTGCTTGACTTAGGCACCAACATGGCGGATCGTATCAGCCAGAGAGTGAATACTGTCTGTATTGAATTAGCTCGAGGAACGTTAAGCAGTGCGACAATGCATGTACTGTTATCGGCCATAATTAGGGACGTCTACGGGATACCGAACGATGAATTGTACGGTGTCGCCCTTAATTCAAATTCAAATTCAAATTCAAAGTTTATTCTCTATAAGGATTACAATGCTGAATTTACAGAATTTGGTTATTGTGTGGTTTACATGTAGTTAAATAATGATTACAGAGTGTACCACTAGAACACCTAGCATGGCTAGGCATTTCGGGCAGACTTAGTTTAATTCTTAATTTTAAAATATTACAAATTATGAGGTAAGTTGGTATTATGGCTAAGTGACTAAATACTAGTTTGTGAGTTTAGCAATGTGAATGCTTTTGTTTTGGCACAGTACATAGTTTCAGTATTGGAGTATCACAGGATTCATTATTTTAAAATTGAGATTAATATTTCTGTTTATGGTCAAATGGGTGAGTGAGTGTAAGTGTGAACCACCAGGTGGTATTCGTGTAGTTATTTGATGGGGTGTATCAGGAGATAAGATGTTTTCTAATGGTAGTTTTGAAGGTGGTGAATGTGTCTGCAGTTCTAGAGTTCTCAGGTAGGGTGTTCCAGATTTTAGGGCCTTTGACATACATTGAATTTTTGTAAAGGTTAGTCGGACACGGGGAATGTCGTAGAGATGTTTGTGTCTGGTGTTATGCCTGTGGGTTCTGTCACAACTATCAAGAAAGCGTTTTAGGTCAAGGTTGATATTGGAGTTTAAGGTCCTGTAGATGTAGATTGCACAGTATAAGTGTGGATGTACTGAACAGGGAGTAAGTTTAGATCTATGAAGAGTGGGGGGGGGTGTTGCCAGGGATGGGATTTAGTGATTATTCTTACTTCAGCTTTTTGTTGGTTTATTATTGGCTTTAGGTGTGTTGCTGCAGTTGAAACCCCAAGCACAAATAGCATAGGTGAGGTATGGATAAATAAGTGAGTGGTATAGTGTGAGAAGGGCATTTTGCGGCACGTAGTACCGTATCTTGGAGAGGATCCCAACCGTTTTGGATACTTTTTTTGGGTTTTGTGTTGGATATGGGTGCTGAAATTCAGGTTGTTGTCAAGGTATAGGCCTAGGAATTTGCCCTTATTATGTCTGGTAATTAGAGTGTTGTCGATCTTAATGTTAATTTGTGCATCTCCTGCTCTGCTACCAAACATAATATAGTAGGTTTTGTCAGTGTTAAGCGTAAGTTTATTGGCTGTCATACAAGTCGATATTTTGATCAGCTCCTCGTTAACAATGGTGTTGAGGGTGGCAAGATTAGGGTGAGAGATGACGTAAGTCGTGTCGTCAGCAAAGAGGATGGGTTTCAGGTGTTGGGATAAGTTTGGAAGATCATTGATGTATATGAGGAAGAGCACGGGACCAAGGACACTTCCCTGCTGAACTCCAGTATCAAGTGGCCGTGTTGTTGATGCTGTGTCTTTAATGGTGACATAATGATACCTATTAGTAAGGTAAGATTTGAAATAAACAAGCGCATGGCCTCTTATGCCGTAATGGTCAAGTTTGTGGAGTAGGATGTCGTGGTCTACTGTGTCAAAAGCTTTTCTTAGGTCAATAAAAATTCCTAGTGGATATTCCTTATTTTCCAATGTGTGTAAAGCAGATCTAGCATTTTTATGATTGCATCATTAGTGCTTTTATTTTTCCTGAATCCAAATTGGCAGGGGTTGAGTATGTTTTGTGCCGTTATAAATGAATATAGTCTCCTGTGCACGAGTTTCTCAAAGTTTTGGATAGCAATGGTAAGTTTTGATATTGGCCTATAGTTGTTTAAGTCTGTAGGGCCACCACCTTTATGTATGGTGTAACCCTTGCCATCTTGAGTAGTTTCGGGAAGGTGCTAGTTTCTAGTGACTTGTTAAAAAGTAATGAAATAGCATGCGAAAGGACATGGGCCGCTTGCTTGTACAGTAATGGTGGGACATGAGACAGATTCCCTGAGTTATTTTTAAGTGACTTTATAATCTCAGTGACTTCCGTGGGCTCAGTTGGTGCAAGATAGAAGGAATTTGGGAAATTCCCATCTAGGTAGTCCCCGGCATGGGCATTGGTATGTGGATTTTATTGGCAAGATTAGATCCTATGGTTGAGAAGAAGTCGTTTATCTTGTTAGCTGTGTCAGTGGGATGTAGTGGTGTTTCATTAGGTTTAGTTAGGACAATATTCTTGTTTTTTTTCAGTTTGTGGGTCCCTAGAATCTGAAAGAGTGTTTTCCAGGTCTTTTTTATATCTCCTCTAGTGTCTGTGAATCTACTGGAGTAGTATAGTTGTTTTGGCTTTCTTTATTACTTTGGTGAGAACTGATGAATAGTGTTTAAGAATATCTTTGTGTATTAAGCCCTGTCTATATTGCTTTTCATATTGGTGTTTCTTGTCAATGGATTTCAGAATAGTGCTGGTTAGCCATGGGCAACCAAGCCGTTTGTTTGTGATCTGTTTCGTTTTTATAGGACAATGTTTGTTGTATAGTCTAAGTAATTTGATAAGAAAAATGTCTGTCCAGTCATCAATACCATTGGCCTTGGAGAATTCTGTAGGCCAGTCAACAGTCTCTAGGTCTGCTGTGAACTTCCTTATTGAGGCCTTGTCATGGAGTCTAAATGAGACTTTGTTGTATTCAAGTGGTGGTTTACTAATGTTTGTCAGGAGGAAGGTAGGGTAGTGGTCTGTAGTGCTATCTGTGATTATCCCTGATTTAAGGGGCTAGTATATTGGTCCATATGTGGTCTATTATGGTTGCACTTGTCTCAGTGAGCCTGGTTGGTTTAGTTATTGGTGGTATGAGAAGTGTGCTGTTCATATTGTTGATGAAATCAGTTACAGGCTGATCATCTAGTAGGCCAAGGTTGATGTTGAAGTCTCCAGCTAAGAGAAGGTGGTGCTTATTCATTTGTCTGTTTGTTATTAGTGACTTTAATTTCTCACTGAAATTTGGGATGTTTGTGTGAGGTATCCGGTAAATGGCACCGATTGTTATAGGTGTCTTAAGGTTTTTTACAGTAAAATTAGCAAAAATGTATTCACCATATTCATCACTAAAGAAAGTGGTGCGAATACAAGATAATTGGTTAGAGTAATAGATTGCAATACCACCCCCAACTTGGTTTGGTCTGCAGTTTTGAATTGCTGTGTATCCTGGTAGAGGGTAGATATCTATTGTGTCCTGCTTAAGCCAGGTCTCAGTAAGAATAATGCAGGAGAAGGGTGTCTTTAGTGATTCAAGGAGTGCCAGGAGGTCATCATAGTGTTTGCTTAAGGACCTGATGTTGTAGTTAAGTACTGATAGACTTTTAGCATTGTTTAGGATAGTGCTGGCTTGTGATGCTGTGTAATAAAGGCAGTTACTTTCCAATAGGTTTTGATTGGTGTCAGATTATGGAGGTTTAGATCAGGGTCAATGTGATCAATCATCTTCTAGGTTTAAATTATGGTTATTTATATCCTGAGTTGTGTGTTGAGTTCTAGTACTGATATCTGTAGTGGTGGGAAGTTTGGACAAGTATATAGCTAGAGTATTTTGGTCATATAGAGTATAGTCACTACTACACATAATGAAGTTGATGTTGTCTATGTGTTGTGCTGGAATGAACTAAAGTACGACTAGGTATAAACTAGTAATATAAAAATACAAATTAAAAATAGAACAAGACTCTCACTTTTAATTGCACTAAGGTCTAATATAATGACTATTGTGGAGTCTATGTTCTGAGCTAGAATGAGCTATAGTACAACTAGGTTCAATCTAATAATATAAAAATACAAATTAAAAATCGCACCAGTCTCTCACTAGTAATTGCACTATGGTCTAATATAATGAATTTGGTATTGACTATGTATTGAGCTAGAATGAGCTATAGTACAACTGAGTTTAATCTAATAATATAAAAAAGGCACAAGACTCTCAATTATAATTGCACTAAGTTCTTATATAAGTTGTTTACAAGAATTAGAGTATAACTAGATTTAAATTAACAGGATAAAATACTCAAGTTAAGGTAGCAAAAGAATAATAAAAAAAAAATGATAAAAATAAAAATGGCAATGACTTGGTTATAATATGCTAGTAAGATGGTAGACAGGATAATATAAAAGTTGTAGTTGAAAATACTAGTTTAAAAAAGTATAGAATAAAAATGGTCAATAAAAGAAGTTTACAAAAAGTTTGATCAATATAGTTTAAAGCAAAATTGGGCATGACAAGGGTTTTTGTGAAGTTTACAAGAGCCGGCTTTTACACCAGGATTGTGGATGAATTTCAGGAAAGGAGGATGAGTGTGAACTCAACAGTAGAGGTGTGTCTACATGATGTTTCAAAATATTACACGTGGGTAAAGGTACGTAATGTACCCTTTGAGGCAACGTCGTATGGCATTCAGGAAGCCTTCAGCAATTATGGAACTGTTCATACGGCTAGTATGGGGGTGTGGAGGGACGGGCCATTTGAAGGGCTGCCCGAGGGGTCCTGCACCCTGAAGATGTCATTGAGGCGGCCAATACCCTCGTATGTTACGCTGACAGGCTATAGGACCCAGGTATTTGTCCACTATGCGGGGCAGAGGAAAACTTGCCGATTATGTGATTCTTACGAGCATATGGCGACGCAGTGTCCTCGAAGGCAAGCCCCTAGGATGGCATTATCATGGATGGT